TTGGCACAAAAACACCACTGTGGTTATTAAGGATAAAATATGAATTACCTGAGTGATGGTAATTCTAATTGTTAGCATTCAGGCACCTGCACTAGCCTGTCCCTGGGGACCTGGCAGGCTATGTCATCCCTGTGCACGCGTGCTGGTTGGAACTCAGCCAGTTATGCTGCCCCGCTGAGGATCCTGACAATGTCAAACACTACACATTCTCTGTGGACATGAGCCACGCCTCCCTTTAAGAGACAAGCTCCGCCTACCTCCCCTCTCTCTTTCCCACCGCTTCTCTGAGAGGCAGGCAGGCCTTTGCACCTTTCTTCCAATTCTCCTCTTCCTCCTTTAATAAATCTCCCACCTGACTGTTCTCTTCTGTGGTGTTCCTTCTCACCATTTTAAAATAACAATTGACATGCCAATCTCAGTTAAGTCACTTAGCTTTCTGCTTTCTGCTTCTATTTTCAAGCCATCTAAAGTAGCGATAGTCCTAACTCCCTGTATTATGATAATTCCCATCTTAAACACGGGGAAGGTTTTCTTCTTGTAATATCACTGAACCCTCTCCTTGAGGACTTTCTAGGTGTCTTACCAAATCCGATGGCTTTTCAAGTTGTCTGCAACTGGTGTGATTTCTCAATCTGTGTGGTCATGCCATGTGTTTGGAGTGTTAAATGTTGTCTTTTAATAATTGCAGTTGTCTTATTTTACTAATAAAGACTGGGGAGCCAGATGCTGGGGTGAAAGCCTTCTGGGACAGAGAGGCAGAGAAAGCATCCAGCTGACCTTTCTTCTCAATTGATATTCATGAAAAAACTCCTTCACTGCTCTGCTGTTGTGGAATAATTTTTTTGTATACTGTGAAGTTGCATCATTCTGATTGGTTTAATAAAAAGCTCAACAGCCAATAGCTAGGCAGAATTTTTGGGGAAGAGGGGACACTTTGAAGAAGAAGAAGGCAGAGGCACTAGGAACACAGAGCACGCTGGAAAGGATAAGTGCTTTGGAGATGAGGTAATAAAGGCACAAGGCAGAAAGTGAATTAATAGAAATGGGTTAATTTAAGTTATAAGAGCTATTTAGAAACACTCCTAAACTATTGGCCAAATTTTCATGATCAATAATAAGTCTCTCTGTTATTATTGAGTTGATGGTCCCTAATGAAAGACCTGGTTACACTCCACCATCTCAAATAAGAAAAAAAAAAAAAAAAAAAAACTCAAAGTTAATGTCTGTCCCTTCTACCTCCTGTGAATCTCTCTACCAATCCTCCAGACTCCCTCTTACTCTCTATTGTTTTTCTTGTTCACTTACTGTCTACTGGTTGCTTGCTTCACCTCTTGACTTATGGTTGACTTTATTTTATCCTGTTTACAATAAGCAGAAAGCTCTTGGATTAAAGGTTTATGCTGAGGCTGAACCACACCACAACTAGAAAACAGGTTTGTTGTGGTATAATAATCTTTTTGTGCACCGTGAAGCTATGCCACGCTGACTGGTGAATGGCCAGTAGTTAGGCAGGATTTCCAGGGACAGAGGACACTGGGAAGAAGGGCAGAGATGCCAGCAGACACAGAGGAATTAGTGTGGGCCACTTAAAAGAAAGTAGATTAAAAGTAGATTAATTTCAGTTATAAGAGATAGTTACAAACAAGCTTAAGTTATAGGCCAAGTCTTCATAACTAACAATAAGTCTCAGTGTCATTACTGGAGAGCCTATGAGCCTGATGAAAAAGTCTTAACTACAAATGGTGCCTAAAGTGGGACTTGAACCCTTGACCCTGAGAATAAGAGTCTTATGCTGTACTATCTGAACTAGCTGGGCTTAAGTTATAAAAGCTAGTGGGACAAGCTTAAGCTATAGGCCAAACTTTCATAATTAATAATGTTTCTGTTTCTGAGCTGGCAGTGCAAAGAAAAATCCATCTACACAGTTTTTCCCCCCAGTAAACAATGCAATCTTTAGGTTTACAGTGTGATCAAATATCCTGCCACACAGAGGAACTGATGTTTTCTTCTTGCTTCTCTGGGCATTGTGTACACAGACATACATCCAGGCAAAACACACATGTGAAATAACAAAAGAATTAATAAACAGAATAAAAGACAGCTCCAACCAGAGAGAGACAATTTAATATGAGTAATTAAAAAAAAAAAGAGTCTACTGCATTTGATCTCTAAAGGGACCAGTGCTGAACTTTGTCAGTTTCAAGAGAAGCATTAGGCTAGAAAGCTTGAGGACACCTGCTTGAATCATGAATGGAAAGAAAGGAGAAGTAGCAAATGAAGAACATTCTTTACAACAAAACCCGAAAAAGAATTTAGAATCAGCAGTACTTAATGTTTATAAATTTTTCCTTTAAAAGTTTTTTTTTTCTTTTAAAGATTTTATTTATTTATTTATTTATTTATTTATTTATTTATTATGTCTACAGTGTTCTGCCTGAATGTGTGTCTGCCTGCAGTCCAGAAGAGGGCGCCAGATCACATCACAGATGTGTGAGCTGGGGTCCTGGACCTCAGACCTAGCCTACCCAGTCATGTCCGAACCTGTGGCTACAACCAAATGACATTGTCAGTGTTTTCAGTGCAACAGGTATAGGCGGGGTAGATTTCTCACTACAATGTGGTTGCTGGGAATTGAACTCAGGACCTCTGGAAGAGCAGCTAATGCTCCTAACCGCTGAACCATCTCTCCAGACCAAAGATGATTTTTTGGGTTTTGTTTTGTTTTTGTATTGAGATAGGTTTCTCTGTGTAACAGCCCTGGCTGTCCTGGAACTTACTTTGTAGACAAGGCTGGCCTCAAACTCACAGAGGTCAGCCTGTCTCTGCCTCCTGAATGCTGGGACTAAAGGCGTGCGCTATGTTGTCCAGGCTGGTGATCCTTTCGCCCCAGTTTTCTACCCAGCTGGAAAGACTGTTTTAGGCTGAAGTGGGGAGAACAAGGCTGGGCATCTAGGAAAAAAAATCTTGCTAATTGTCAGCAAAGAACATGTAATAGATACCCCAGATTTATTTTATTTGTGTTAGAATTTCTTTTAGACTTATTTTACACACCTTAGTGTTTGGCTTGCATGTATAACTGTACCATGTGCAAGCCTTGTTCCTGAAGAGGTCAGAAGAGGGCAGAATTGGATTCTCTGGAACCTGTGTCATGGATGGTTGTGAGCCAATTTGTGGGAGCCGAGAATCAATTCTTGGTCGTCTCCATAAGCAAGTACTCCTAACTGCCGAGTCATCTCTATCCCCTCTCCCATTTATTTAATGAAACATTATGCTGAATAGAGACAGGGTCTGTTCTGTTCAGGATGTAGGAATGAGGTGCAGAGGTACACAGAGCTGAATTGGGGATGTGTGAATACTGCTGACAGGGGCTTTGCTCATTTTTGTGGGTCTCTGTAAGATGGAATGGGGTACCCTCGAACATTGTTATGGTCCAGAACAGCTACTGGTACTGATTAGTAGATGTGAAGAAAAAGCAGCATTACAAACAGGTGCTCTTTTCTTCAGAGAGATCATGGTGTCCCTGAGCACAGTAGTAGGTCAAACGTAGGTTTGAGTAGTTGAATTGGGAGACAAAAAGCAGAAAAGGATGTATAGTCTGGAAAAATTGTTCAGTTGCTAAGGAATAAGTGAGTTGGAGAACAGGTGTAGAATTGTTAAGGGGAAGACAGAATGGGTAGAAAGGAGTACGCTGAAGTGAGGCTCATGGCTGGAGTATCTGCATTGGGAAGACCAAAGCCACAATTTTGAGATCAGCCGAGGCCGTAAAAGAGAGATCTTGTATCAAAACACAGGGAGGAAAGTCCCTTAGAGTTAAGATTTCACAAGTAAAGGAAATTGGTGTGGGGGGGGGGGAGTCAGAAAATGCGTTGTTTTCTTTATTTTTACTCTGATGGCTTCGTGCATAAAGAACTGAAATGGGCAATGCTGGAGTCAACCCGTGACATTCTGTCTCATTTTGTAACTGTTTTTGTTTTTTCAAGACAGGATTTTTTTGTGAAGCCTTGGCTGTTCTGGAACTTACTCTGTAGACCAGGCTGACCTGGAACTCACCGAGATCCACCTGCCTCTGCCTCCCGATTGCTGGGATTAAAGGAGTGTGCCACCACCATCGACTTTTTTTTCTTTCTATCTTCTTAAAACCCAGTTAACTGAACCAGTATATCTTGAGTATATGCCCCTGGGAAGATCACAACCCCTCAGCAGCATTTGCCCACAGTCATTTCTACTGTGTGTGCTTAGAACCTTCTTTTGGGTTCAGCACAGGAAAATTTTGCTGGTATTTCTATGTGTTGCAGTTGTGGATGGAAATAGTGTAAACCCTTCTTGCCTTTCATGATGAAAATCTGGACATTTTTGGCACTCCCAGTCATATAGCTTTTTTTACCCCTGTGTTTTTACACTCCAAGAACATATACGTATACTCGATTGCCTTTTTATTAACGGAGCCCTTTCATATTGTCATAATATGATATCTAAACACATTTTTAAAACGTTCCATGAATGAATGGCAAGATAAAGCGTGGCTCTTATACACTGAAGGAATCCTCGTCTGTAGGCTACATGATTTCAAGGTCCCAGAAAGTTTGTCTTGAAAAAGCTCAAATGTTATTCCCAGAGGTCTTGAACAAAAGGTATCACTCGGTTTAGATGCGCCTAATTTGCAGCAACTGTAAGTAGATGCCAGGCCAACTAAATTGGCTTTCAACGGTGGGTGGGCAGGCTCGGGTTTCCGTACAGCATCATGGCGGCCGCCTGCGGGCGTTTAGGGGTGGAACAAATCAGAGCGCCTTTCCCACAAAACCATAACTTCCTGCAGGAGGACGGCGCTGCAAGGCCGGTTGTAAGTCCGGAGCGTTTTCCGTACAGCATCATGGCGTCCCCCACAGGAATCTGCGCTACGCGCGCCAGGGGAAGAAGCTGTCGTAAAGCAGTCGCCTCTTCCTCTTCTCCCGCCTCCCACCGGCTGTCGTAAAGGGTGAATGGAGAGAGAGTTGTGGGGGGGAAGGAGGGAGGACAGGGGGCGCGGAGTCAGAGTGGCGCAGCAAGTAGCGGCAGGCGGCGGTGTGGGCGGCAGGGGTTGGGGGTGAGGTGGTTCCCTGTGGCGGACGCGGCCCGAGGGGGCCAAGAGACACCCCGGCTGCCACCCGGCCTGCTGGCCCTGGGGCCGGAGTCCCCGCCCGGGGACATGGACCTCAACCGGATCATCCAGGCGCTGAAGGGCACCATAGATCCGAAGCTGAGGATTGCGGCCGAGACTGAGCTTAACCAGGTGAGCAGCGGGCCTCCTCGTCCTCCTGCTCCTCTCCCTTCCCTCTCTCCCTCCTCCCACCCCAGCCTGAGACTCGGACCCCTGCGGAGCAGCTGGAGCACCTGTTGGCCATCCGGTCCTTTCTTGGTGCACTTGCCCAGCCCACTTGGACAGTACAAAGAGGCTGCGAAGCCTTTGCCAGTGTGCTTTGGGTGTGATTTCTTTTCCGAAGCGCGCTTACGCGGGGACGCGGTGGGAAAATTCAGCAAAGCTGAGCTAGCTTTTCTCCGGACCCGCCCTTTTCAGGTGTTGCTGTTGGAAACCCTGCCTCTCGCCTGCTTCTGGCTGTGTGGATCATAGCAGAGTTTTGCTGGAGCGCTGGGCAGTGCTGTCAGAGAGGGTTCTAGGAAGAGCACGCGGTTTCTATGTATCATGTATCTTTCCAAAGACCGGTCCAATAATACGGTTCCTATGTATCATGTATCTTGTCAAAGACTGGTCCAATAATACCCATCTGAGGCATTTCTTCCCAATGCTGAAATGTGTGAGACTTTCCCTTAACCACTCTCCATTCTGCTAAACAGTCTTGGCATTGTTCCAGTGTTACTCCCAATATCATCATCATCATCAACTTCTCCTCCTTCTCCTCCTTCTCCTTCTCCTCCTCCTCCTCCTTCTTCTCCTCCTCCTTCTCCTTTTGTCCCTACTCCTCTCTCCTTTCTTCTTTCTTTTTGTCTTTTTCTTTCTTTTCTGAGACAGGGTCTCTCTATGCATCTGTGACTGGCCTGGAACTCAGCGTGTTAAAACAGGCTGGCTTGGAACTCAGATCCTCCTGCTGCTTCTGCCTCTCTGCTTCTAGACTTCTAGGATTAAAAGTGTGTGCCACCACATCTAGCCCAACATTTCAAGACTGTAATAATCATAAGCTCTGCTTCTGCACTTGTAAGAGGGATCACGGGCCCCTTACTAAAAAGAACAAATTAAAATCCCCCTGCATGGCTTGACAGATGTTTGAAGTTGCTACAAGTGTGAAGGGCTATTACTTAATTAGTGGATCTTAAGGAGTTTCCAGGGCCAGCCTCTGCTTCTCTGGAACTATTGGGCATGGGGATTATGGGGCTACATCCCTGATTAATTCTGAAAAGCTGGTAGTGGGAGCAAGTTTGTATGTTAACTGGCTCCCCGAGGCAATTCTGTGCCTCCTAAAGTATAAGGATACACCTTGGCCAGGATGTCTGTCCTAGTTGAGTTTTAAAAAGCACGTGGGTTTTGAATCTTTTAAAGAGATATTAACTGAAAAATCTGTGTGGAGTTTGAGGTGTATGTGAATCCAGGGTCCCTAAGAGATAAGAAGGAGAGTTGAGATCCTGTTGCTGTCTACTTGGCTCTGCTGTAGAGTGTTTAACCAAGAATTCTTGAGATCCTATTTGATTTCCAGCCCTGCTCAAGCCTGTAATCCTAATACACACAAAGTTGTATTGAATGAAAGGCCAAAAATGAAATGCTTTGATGTTTCAAAAAGGAAAAGACTGTCACCCTAGAGTAAGAGACAAAGTCGGTGCCAGTCTTGGACTTTGTAGAGTCCTGCCTGCCTCTAGTAACAGTCATTAGGATTTAGTTCGTAAGACTGCCCTGCGGGCTGGACTTAGAACCTGCTGGTGTGCGCAGGGGAGGCTTTTGTTTGACACCTCTCTCACCGTGTTGCAAGATGTCCCTTTGATAGTGATAACAGGGAATGGAACTTGGATGCCATGTTATACTTTCTGCCCATAACCAAACCTTGCTTTCTTCTCATTCATCATCACATAAGTGCAGTTTATATTTGGAATCAGAAAAGGCTTGAAGCCTGCAGGACCGGGAGAGGCTCAATTCCATGCCCTCTTCATAGTGCTTTAATCCAAATTCTGTCTTTACTCTTCCCTGCTCCCTATCTGTTCATCTCGCCGGAGACCATCTTCTTTGTTACTTAACGTTTTAAAGTGTGAGGCCCTAGGCTCATGCCTAGCACCACAGAAACCAACCCAAAACAACAGGGTAACATTTCCGTGTCTTGTTTTGGATTGTATTATGCTTTCAATATGTTTTTGTGCTTGGAGTAGAAAAATTAGATACGATGTTATTTTATCATTAATAAGGTGTGACTTTGGTATGGGTTTTGCATATTTGTCCCGTAGCACCTGTCTTGATGCATGAGTAAATAAGCATCTACTGTAAGGGGTTAGAGCTTAGCTCTTTTACGTTTCCCCCCTGGAAGGGTCTCATATAGCCCAGGCTGCCTGACCTTACTGTGTAGCTGAGAATCCTCCTGTCTCTACCTCCTGAGACCCCTAAGTGTGGTTGGTGTGGTGCTCACTCTGTAGCTTGGGACTCTGTGTGTATTTACTCCTGTTCTTGCCCCTCCTCTCATCCCTCATCTCTTTGAGATAGTGTCTTGTTATGGAGCCTATTCCTCCTGCCTCGGCCTCCTGTGTGCTGGGATTATAGGTGTATGCTGCCTTGCCTGGCTTTTTATTTCTTTCGGTGGTACAGGGGATTGAGCCTGGAGCTTTGCTCATGCTAGGTTAACAGTTTACCATTGGACTCTTATTCTCAGCCTAAAAGCATTTGCTTTCATTACCAAGTTCTGGAATCCCTGTTTTATGTTTTATCTTTTTGTGGTGGTGCTTATTGGGTCTAGTATCACACGTGTGAGGCATGCACCAAGCCACATCCTTAATCGTCCATTATTTTCTTTGCCCTTTAAGGGAGTTTGCTGTTAGGAATGATGAGTTACTTGCTGATTTGTGTTCTAGGCATTGGTGTGACCACATGCTAGTTGGGAGAGACAGGTTAGGAGTTCTGCAGAGAGCAGCCTACAAGTGTATTGGAATAAATAGATGGGGTGGTCATTTTCTGAGGAGACCTGGATGTTGAAACAAGAAAGACAGGCCAAGCACAGGGCAGGAGCAAAGGGAACAGCAAGTTGAGAAAAGGTTCATCCAGCCCATCAGCTGGGGACTAGAGGGATTAGTGGGTCAGAGACCAGGAACCTCAAGTCTTGGCATTGTATGAGTTTTCATAAAACGTAGAATTTAAGTTAGAAACACAACAGTTTATTTTCAGAAAGCTTCACAGACACAAAACAAATGTACCCACGAAGTCTTTGAGGAATGAGTCATCTTTTTGTTAGACACTTGAAGCCCAAAGAGGAACAATGATGGGGTATTATTGTGAAGGAAGTGGCCTGGGAATGCATTTGCATTTGCCCTTAAATGTTTAAGCTTGCCAAGTTAACATAGGCCAAATCACCAAAGAAGTCAAGGTTTCAACAGTTCCTTAAAATGGCCAAACAAATTGCAAAACAGCAGTTCTGAAATGTGTTCAATGGCAACAATTTTAGTAAGTAGCATTCATTAGTCCAGGTGAATAGGTTATTTTGTGTCTATGTAAGAGTTTTAAAGAACTGAAGTCAGTTTTTATGATTGTAATAAACTGTAGATGTTTGATTTTTATTTATAAGATCTTTCACTATCCGAAAAGCTACAAATCCAAATTATTTTTAAAATATATATGTTGAAGTTGTAGAAGACTGAGCTAAAGCAATATTAATATTTCCCTCATTTAAAAAAAACTGCCATTAAACTGGGCGTGGTAGCACATGCCCTTAATCCCAGCACTCAGGAGGCAGAGGCAGGCTGATCTCTGTGAGGTTGAGACCAGCCTGGTCTACAGAATGAGTTCCAGGATAGACAGGGCTACACAGAGAAACCCTGTCTTGGAAACAAAACAACAACAACAACAACAAAAAAAAAAAAAAAAACCCAAAAAAAAAAAAAAAAAAAACCAAAAAGCAAACAAACTGCTGTTAAGTCGTTTTTTCTTTCTTTCTTTCTTTTTTTTAAACCAGGTCTCGCTGTGTAGTTCTGGCTGGTCTGGAACTTGCTATATAAACCACATTGGTCTTAAAGAGATCCACTTGCTTCTGCCTCCAAGTGCTGGGATTAAAGGCATGTGCTGCCTTGCCCAGCAAAAAGATTTATTCTTAATTATCTGTCTGTCTGTCTGTCTATCTAATGTAAGAATACATATATATTAATAATGTGTGTGGGTATGTACACATAAAATGCAGGCTGCAGAGGCCAGAGTTATCAGATCTCCTGGAGCTTGAGTGACGGACAGTTATGAACCACCTAATGTGGGTGGCTGGGAACTGAACTCAGGTGCTTTGCAAGGGCAGCAAGCACTCTTAATGGCTGAGCCATCTCTCCAGTCCTCATGTCTGTTTATTTTGAGACAGGATTTCATGTAGTTTTAAACATATTCATTTTTATTTGTGTGTGTGTGTGTGTGTGTGTACACGCCAGTGCTCGAGCGTGCCTGAGGCGGCCAGGAGAGGGTATTGGATACCCCGGAGTTGGGGTTAGGGGTGTTTGTGAGCCACCTGATGTGGGTATTGGTGACCGAGCTTGGGTCCTTAGAGCAGCTGGTGCTCTTAATGACACTGTGCCATCTCTCCCGTTTCCCACACCTGCTGTTAAAAAAGCTACTTTAAAAAGTTTTGTAGTTTAAATTATGGATAAAAAGGAATTTACCTTTTTTTAATTTTTTTTTTTTTTTTAACTTATTTGTGAGATAGAGTAGTCCTCCCTGGCCTGGAACTTGTTTCTATTCCAGGCTAGCCTTGAACTCACAGAGATCCACCTGCCTCTGCCTCATGAGTGCTGGGATTAAAGTGTGTATCACCACACCCAGTTGGAGAAGTTGTTTTAAAAAATTGTGTGGAGAGAGAGAGATTAGCAATTAAGAGGCGCTGCAGGATATTTGATCACACTGTGAACACTGAGATTGCATTAATTACTGGAAAAACCTGTTTCTAGCTGTGATGTGGCTCAGCCCTAGCACACACCTTTAATCCTAGAGCTTTCTGCTTGAATGTTGTAAACAGCATTAAATAAAATCAACCGTAGGTCAAGAGGAGCAAGCAACCAGTTGACAGGAAGTGAACATAGTTTTATTAAGAAAAAAACTATAGGGCAAGAGGGAGTCAGGAGGACAGATGGACACACAGGAAGTAGAAGGCAGGGTCCTTCATTTTAAAGAGTTATTTTGAGATGCTGTAGGAGAAGGAAGAGGTTTCTAGGACATCAGCTGAGGAGGAAGGTCAGCTGGGTGCTTTCTATGAGCTATCAGACTTTCACCCCAACATCTGGCTCCTGAGTCTTTATTGTTAAAATTGAATGATAACTTTGTTAAAAATGAACCTGAGTTCAATTCCAAGCACCCTCATGGTGGTCCACAACCATCTGTAACTCCAGTTCCAGGGAATCTGATTGCTCTTCTGACTTCTGTGGAGACCAGACACATATGTGGTGCACAGACAGACACACATGCAAACAAAGCACTCATACACATAAAAATAGATTGAAAAATTGAGTGGGTTAGCAAGATGACTTAGTGGGTAAAAGTGCTTGGCTTTCCTAACCTATGACCAGAGCTTCATCCCTAGAACACAATAAAGATGGAAGGAGAGAATAGACTCCATAAGTTGTCTGCTGACTTCCACATGGGTATGGGTACACACACACACACACACACACACACACACACACACACACACACACACACACACGAGTGACCCACCTCCCTCCCCCCCCTCTCTCTATATATATCTATATCTATGGAAAAATTGAGTGGCTTACTAACTTAGCTGTGTCTCAAACAGTGACATTGCCCATATAGGCTTTAGAAGACAAGCTGAATGGATCCTACGAGGTGTTCAAGGTCTGGTTTCTGTCCTTGAGAACTTTTGGGACTTCTGAGAATGCTAGTAGGCAGGTTAAGCAGAGCTCCAGGGATGTGCAGGGCTGTGGGATGTTCAATACTAGACATCTGTGTAAATATGGTCAGAAGGAATGGGTTCTGTGTTGTTTGTGCCCATGGCCAGACTCAGGAGCAGATCAGAGTAAACAGCCTATGCATGCAGTGGTCCAGGCAGCAGGTTGAACAGAAAGTTATTAGCATGGACTCTTGGGCATCATGATGTTGAGAATGTGCCTAGCAGTGTCCATCCTCTGTGCTCCATGCTGCACTGTCCCACTCAGGACCATCCTCTCTATAGCACATGGAATTTAAAAAAATCATGTTCTATCTCCCCCACCCCAATGTTTGGACTTCTGTTTTCTGAAGATGACATTTTGTTTTCTGTTTGTCAAAAAATACATATCGAGAAAACTAAAGCCCAGATAATCTGGGAGGAAACATTTGTGGTGAGTGGGTTATGTTAGTTGCTTTTCTTCTTCTAGTAACAAATACCTGATAAAAGCAGTTTGAGGGAGGAAGGGTTTGTTATTGAGGGTGTAGTCCATCATGGTAGGGAAGGCATTAAGAGCTTGAAACAGTTACTTACACTGCAGTCCGCAGTGAGGAAGCAGAGAGAGCTAAATGCTGGTGTCAGCTGGCTTGCTTCTTTTCCTTAAGTGCAGGACCTTGGCCCATGGGTTGATTCAGCCCACATGTAAAGAGTGTCTTCCCATCTCAATTAACTCTACTACAGACTTCCTTCAGATATGTCCAGAGGCTTGTTTCAGAGGTGAATATAGATCTGTCACTGTGACAATCAATATTGGCTACCACAAAGGTCAAATAAAAGGTAGAGATTGTAAATCCATTAGTAGCTCTTAGAGTTGATTAATAAAAAATGAAATATTCCCCTCTCAAAGGAAAAAGGGTATAAGAAATTCGTAGAAGAAATGAATGGCCAACAAAAAGGATCTTGAGTAACAGGAAGTATCATTTAAAATAGTAATAAGATTTTGAAGTTTTAAAGGTTCTTGTGGAAGAGCTACCTACTACTTTGAGGGGAGCATTTTGGTAATATATGTCAAACATCATAAAAGTACTCATACATATTTTTTATTCATTAGTTATAAGAATTTTTTACTCTTAAAAGTATTTTCATAATCTTCATTTTACCTCAGAATTTCTTTAATTGTTTATGGTTTTTCTTTTATTTGGACAGTAATGAATGTATTCTGTAATGGTGCTAGTAGGTTTTCAGAATGCCCTGTTTTTACAAAGCATTTCTTTGTAATTTCAGTCCTACAAGATTATTAATTTTGCCCCCAGCTTGCTTCAGATCATAGTCTCCGACCATGTGGAGTTCCCAGTTCGTCAGGCAGGTAAGTCGTCTTTTCAAGTTAATGAGAGTTCTACTTTAAATCTAAATAGTTATAATGTGCTGTACTAAACCTTTTCAATGAAAAAAAATAATAATAAAAAAACTTAAAAAAAATGACTTGTACAAGATCATGACAGTTAAAATTCCAGCATAGATCCCAGGAATGACCCCTAAAGCCCCACCTCTGTGGGCAGGGTTGCTGGCAGTTGATGGCTGCTGGAGGAGAGAGTCACTGTCTTTTGGGGATGTGTGGCTGCTGATAAGTTGTCTATTGTAAGAAGTATGGGTTTTTCCTCCCGGCCACTGCTGGTCTTGTCCTGCCGCCGCGCCAGCCCCAAATAATACACAGAGACTCTGTATTTGATACAATGCTGTTGGCCCGGTTACTTGTTTCTTATCGGCTAGCTCTGCCTTAAATTATTAACCCATTTCTGCTGATCTATGTATTTTCACATGGCCTTCTCTTACTGGGGAGGCGGCTGGCGTCCAGCTCTCTCCAGACTCTCCATCTTGACTCCTTCTTACTACTTCCTATTTCCTCCTTGTCTCCTAGTTCCTCCTATCTTCCTTTCCTATTGGCCAACAGTGCTTTATTATTAACCAGTATGAGAAACATATATACATAATGGCATCTCCCATCAGTCCATGCCTCAGTGGATGGCCATACACCCATGTTCATAGGGCATCACTGATGTGACTCAGGGCGATTAGTAATAGCAGCAGAAAATAGAGAGGAAATGAAGATGGGAGGGAAATGTCCTCTCAGTCACTGGGGGAGTTGAAGGGAGGTGATGGAGGTATCCATAGTCGGATTTTGTCATCAGGGACTGTCAGCTCCCCATTAATGACATGGAGACTCATTACTAGTTATGAAAGCTCGACCGATAGCTTGGGCTCGTTTCTACAACTTTAAATTAACCCATATCTTTTAATCTATGTTCTTTTATGTGACTTGGCTACCTTTAATGATATGCTGCTTGCTCTGTGTCCCTGGTGTCTCTTCCCAACTCCGCCTTTCTTTCTCCCAGCATCCTCTGTGCCTGGGAGTCTTGCCTAGCTATTGCCATTCAGCTTTTTATTAAACCAATCAGAGTGACACATTTTCACAGTGCACAGTAAAATTTTTCCCCAACAGTTTTCCAACGTCCCTGTGTTTGTGCTCAGTTTGAAAACATGTATGTGGTTTCCAGGTCATTCTGTGTCACTTAGGGTGTCCTCCAGCCTGGTGCAATGCTCCTGCTTTGACTCCCACGAGACATTCTTGAGATATTCCCATTTCCCCTTCCCAAGCTGGCCCTTTGTACCTGTGAGGTTTTCCATCTCTGCTGGGCATTGCACCCCACATGGAAGGCTGTCCAGCTTTTGTGTTCCATGAGATGTGAGATTGAGTTGAAGTGGTCTTCCTGATTCCATCCCATCTGTTTTCCTCTTAAAATCAGCTGCCATCTACCTGAAGAACATGGTGACACAGTACTGGCCGGACAGGGAGCCTCCACCAGGAGAAGCGATATTTCCATTCAATATCCACGAGAATGACCGACAGCAAATACGGGACAGCATTGTGGAGGGGATTATTCGGTCCCCTGATCTGGTGAGGTAGGCCGTGCCTGTCTATGTGATCTGAGGAGGCAGCTGGCCTTGACTGGCACTGACCTTCAGCTGTGTGTGTGTGTGTGTGTAGCTTTTACTTTTTTCTGAGACAGGTGTGTATGTCAGGCTGGTCTCAAGTGTACTATGTGACCCAGTGATGGCCTTGGACTTCTAGTCCTCCTGTCTTCATTTTCAAGTTCTGGGATTACAGGAGTATACATGCCACCATGATGGCTCTGTGTAGAGTTGGAACTTAAACCCAGGACCTCATGCATTCTTTTTACCAGCTGAGCTATGTCTCCAGCCTAGGAAATAAGTTTCTAGTTCCATGAGTTGGACAGCATAGCTGTGGAGCCATGCATTTTGCAATCTTAAAACAGAAACACCTTTGATTCAACATATGATCTAGGAATGAAGGTTTCTTTGCAAGTGGAAGGGGAAGGGCAACAGATGAAGCAGTGTTGGTGGGCGAGACTGTTTAGTCAGGTGCAATTATGATGAAAATAGAGGAAAAGAAAGGAGATTTGAGGCTGGCAACAGGAAGAACAAGCGTTGAATTGGTGTGTGGTTAATTTTCGTAGCTGGGAGAGCACAGGCATGCTCACTGAAGAGCAGCATCCTTATTCTCAAGGGTTGCCCACGTGTTCTGGAGCCTCTCAGAACCATTGCATGCTCATCTGTGAAGACGCTTCTTCCTGGTCTCCTCATCTCCCAGTGGTTCTAAGCAACATGGGAGTCTTGCTCTTGGCTTGGAGTGAGAAATGGACCATGAGGACCATCTCAAGATGAAATCTTAAAAAAATGAAGTTTTGACTATACTTTATGCCAGTGTTGTTTAAAGAAACAGCTGCTGGCAGTAGACAGAGGATCCCTGTTTATTCTGAGACAGCCCTCTGTGGCTTTTCTCTCCCCAAGTCCTAAAGCCACCCGAAGATGCTTTGTCTAAAAGTATTGCAGAGGAAATTGATTTGGTACCATAAGGAAGATACAATATGCTGCTTAAGTCTTTCCAGTTTTTGTGGATCTGAGTTACTGGATATTCAACTGAATACTAGTTTATTTTTTTTTACAATTTGGAATCTTGTGACTGAGGATGTAGCTCAGTTGGTACAGGACTTTCCTAGCTTGAGAGCTTGGGTTATTCCCAGCACTGCATACAGTGTCGTTTAGTGTGGTGTAGTGGTCCGCGTGTGGATCCCAGGACTTGGGATGTAGGAGCAGGAGGATCAGAAGTTTAAGATAATCTTCCGCTACATATTGCATTGGAGATCAGTCTGGGATGCATAAAACCTTCTCACAAGTAAACAGCCAAACAAAAACTATAATTTGGGTCCTGATTTTGTCAGGTTAATTTTCTTTCTTTCTTCTTTTTTCTTTTTTTTTTTACTTTTTAAAATTATTTTTTCTTATTGTACATATTGATCCCAGTTCCCTCTCCCTCCCATCCTCCCATGTCCTCCAACCCCCCTCCCAATCCCATTCCCCACCCACTCCACAGGGAGGGTGAGGCCTTCCAGGAGGGATCATCAAAATCTGTCAAGTCATTTGTCATGCACCAGGGATACATCCTGGTTCCACTGTGAAAGGTCCTGAAGACTGCCCATGCCTTCTAACTGAGATCCACATTCAGGGGGGTCTGGTTGGTCCAATGCTGGTTTCCCAGCTATCAGTCTGAAGTCTATGAGCTCCCCTTGTTCAGATCAGCTGTCTTTGTGGGTTTCTGTACCCTGGTCTTGACCCCTTTGCTTATCACTCCTCCCTCTCTGCAACTGGATTCCAGGAGTTCCTGCTCAGTGTTTAGCTGTGGATGCCAGGTGGTGGTGGTGCATGCACTCAGGAGTTCAAGGCCACAGAGCTAGATCCAGAACAGCTAGGGCTGTTACAAGAGAAACTCTGTCTTGAACACTGCCCCCCCCCGGCCCCCCCCCCAATTTTTTTTTTTTTTTGGATAAGGTGAAGGTTTTTATATATGTGAGGACTTTCCCCCATTCTGTTTATTTTCAGTAGATTGAGTCACTGAGAAGGTTTTTTTAACACGATCACTTTTCTTCACACCGTTCATATATACAGTCCTTTGCTGCAGAGGTTAACAATATATACAGTGGTGTCCCATGTGAATACATCCCCTTAGATGCAACTAGATGATCTGGTGTTCACATGTTTCTCAATGTTATCCATGCTTAGTGGTGCCTGACTGTAGGTGTAAAGGGAGTTAGAGAACGTTATAAGACTATCCGTAGTTCTTTTGTGGATAATACTCTTTAACTGTTTGCATTTTCTTCTTGCCTTGCAGAGTCCAGTTAACAATGTGTCTCCGAGTCATCATCAGACATGATTTTCCTGGCCACTGGCCTGCAGTGGTCGACAAGATAGACTACTACTTGCAGTCACCAAACAGTGGGAGCTGGCTTGGCAGTTTGCTATGCCTGTATCAGCTGGTGAAGACCTATGAGTAAGTTCATTTCTACTGGCCAGAGAGAGCCAGTGTCCTGTGGAGTCGGGCCCATAGAGCGGTCTGCTGTGGGGTCCGGTCACTGTGGAAAATGCCGAATCAAACAAGGTTGATGCTTTCACTTGATGCAGTCGCTCAGCGGCACTCATATTTTCTGGTGCACACCGATGATTTCTGAGGTGATGAGTGACATACTGTGCAGTGTAACATGCTTTCTTTAGCTGCTGCTGTAGATATACCTCACTTACAGAAATCGGATACTTTCCTGGTGAGAAAAGGTAGAAAATGATGAGCTTCCTCAGGGCATTTCCATGGAAGTTTCTGGTGAGGGTTGAGACTCTGATGACAGTTAATGATAATTTTTGGGTTTTAAGATAGCGCTGCTTTTTTATGTGCAATCCTTTAGTTTCTCTTTGTCTTGAGACAGGGTATTAACTTGGTAGCTCAAGCTGGCCTTGAACTCATAGCTATCCTCCTGCCTCAGCCTGCTGAATGCTGAGATTACAGCCCAGGTAATTTTCTTTCTTTAAGATGATAGTTGAGACAGTTTTATGGAATTTCTATTTAGAAAATACTTTAGATTGGCCACAGTAGAAGTGAATGGAGAGCACCCAGGCTTACAAGGTACATCCACTCTCAATGTAGGATGATATGAGAAAAATTTCTCTGTTATTTGCTGTACAATATGATGTTTAAGCTAGTGGATCAGCTTTCATTTTATAGAATGAATTATGGTTTGATAAGAGTTAACTTAAATAATAGAAAACTTCCCATATAAAATTATTAGTCTTGGACTTTTCTATCTTTCTTCCTCCCTCCCTCCCTCCCTCCCTCCTTCATTGATGCATAGCAAACCAATCCAGGGCCTTTTACGTGAGCCACATTTCCAGCCCTTGGCATTTTGAGACAGGTTCAGGCTGGCCTTGAAATCATGTTCTTTCTGACTTATCTCCCAAGATCTGGGATTGGAGGTCTTCAGTTTTGGACCCTTAAACTAGTCCCAACCTTCTAAGAAAGGTGTTGTGTGTGCCTGAACCAAGGCTTTATTCTCTCAAAGTTCCTTCCAACGTTACTACAGCAGCTACATAGAACATTTAAGCCTGATTTTGCATGTTTCTGACTTTATGTGGTTAATCATTGTTCCTAGCCATTGGGAAAGGAGAAACGCCATCACCTTCTTTATTCTCTGTCTTTGCTTATGTAGATACAAGAAAGCAGAGGAAAGAGAGCCTCTCCTGGCAGCCATGCAGATATTTCTGCCGCGAATTCAGCAGCAAATCCTGCAGTTACTTCCTGATGCCTCCCATTACTCTGTGTTGCTGCAGAAACAGATTCTGAAAATCTTCTACGCTCTCGTTCAGGTCAGTTCTACTTCAGAAGCATGGAGCCTCTTATTTGTGTCTACCTTGTAGAAATGTCATTATTTAGAATCATATATTTTTAAGATTTATTTATTTTTATTTCATGTGCATTAGTGTTTTGCATATGTGTGTGTGTGTGTGTGTGTGTGTGGTGTGTGTGTGTGTGTGTGTGTCTGTCTGTCTGAGGGTGCCAGGTCCCCTGGAACTGGAGTCACAGACAGTTGTGAGCTGCTATGTGGGTGCTGGGAATTGAACCTGAGTCCTCTGGAAAAGCAGCCAGTGCTCTTAACTACTAAGCCACCTCTCCAGTTCCCAGAATCATATATTTTTTACCTTAGGAGAATCAGGCTCACAGAGGTTAACTCAGCCATGAGCACTGGTTATGCAGGTTCAGTTTGGTGTCTGTGGCTGTTTTCTTAGTCTAAAGTTCCAAGTCATAAAGAACCCAGGAGTTGCTTGAGCTTAGATTCAAGGTGCCCTTCTGCAGGTCGGTTGTGATTGTATGAAGAGAGGAAGGAAACAAAGAGTCCTTCTTCATGGGAAATCACACTGATGCCCTTTCCTGTTCTTTAGCCAACTTCAAGCCAACACAGATTTAGTGGCTCATTTTAGTGGGAGGGTCTCTGTAGGCTCTACAGCAGGAGGGGAAAATGGTCATGGTCAGAGAAAAATGAAACTCAGCTCAGCCAGATTTTGGTAACCACCAGTGCTGAGCCAAAACTTCTTGGAGTCTGACCCAGATCATTTTACTTTAGCTATATTTAAGCACAGCACGATTTTGGAAAAAAGTATTCATATAAGAATTAACTCAGCCCCATGACTATGGCAAAGCTTAAGACATGTTCACATTGAAGTTCTTAGTAAAGTACTAAGTATATGGTTTCATCTGTAAGATGGTTTCTTGTCTTAGAAACATTGCTCAGGATAAGAACTGAGGTAAACTTAATGCCTGTTGGCCTGGCCCTGAGATATCACAGACGTCACTTAGGCTGTTGTAAAGTACAGGTGACATCTCTCACAAGGATGAGTCTCATGGCCTAGAAGTAAAGCTCAAGGTTTTAGGGGGAAAAGTCTGGGATAAACAAACACAGTATTTTGGGGGATAAGGGCAGATCCTGGCCCATCAGGCAGCAAAGCATTACCAGGTTATAAACTACATTTTCCCCAGCATTCCAGGAAAAACAGCTAAATATCTTCTCCCCGTGTTGAGATCAGTTGTGTGTTTAACTTTCTCTGGCTTTTCCAGCGCTTATCTGTGTGCACAAGTTTTCTCTGATTTAAGCCAATCCCCTTTTCTTACGTGGAACTATAAAGGGTACTAGTATGGTAATTAAGAAGTGGGGTCAGCCTAAATGTGATGCTGGATTAAAGTTCTCCCCTGTGCTTTCTTTCTTGACAGTCCCTGTGGCAGGAGGGTGGTTGTTGAGCTGGGAGGCAGCAGGGGAGTTGGAATGGGCTCTTTCTTGTTTTATTTGGCTTGGGTGCCTTTGGACTATTTTAGGGTTATAATAAAGTTTCCTCTCACAAGTCTTTGTTTTGTTTTTAGTTTTTGAAACAGGATTTCTCTGTGTGGCCAGCCCTGGCTGTCCTGTAACTCATTCTGTAGGCCTGGCCGGCTTCAAACTCACAGAGATCTGCCTGCCTCTACCTCCTGAGTGCTTGCATTAAAAGTGTAGCCACCTCATGTTGCCTCATAATTGTTTAATAAAGCCAGTTGAAGGCAGATTTTTTTTTCCCCCCTTTTCAGGATAAAAGGAAGGAAGGAAATCTCACAAGAGAGAAGAAAGTAGAATATCAGGGAAATACATTCCTCCACATTTTCTGAGGTGTTTGGGAAGAAAGCTTCATGGCTTTTCTTGTAGAGTTAGAATTAGATATCTCCCTCAGCATTGCCTACTTTACACTGGGGCATTGCAACAACAATGTATTTGGGGCTGGACTAGCCTTTCTTACTGGGTAAACAGAGCCAGGCGCTGGTCGGTAACATGAAGGCTCTGGTCATGAGGTTTCTGTGGTTTCCTTATGTGCTTGGCTTACTAACAGGAAAAAAAAAAATATCTTTTAAACACATAAAAACAAAACAAAAACAAAAGATGAACTTCTCTAACATCTTTTAACTGTTTTGGTAATCTGTTATGTATAAATACAGTAATGTGCTCCATTGGAGGCAAAATAAAAAAAAAAATAAATAAAAGTGAGTCGTGAAATTGCAATCATGATGAAAGGGAAAATTGCCTGGCTGGGTTACAGAAGGCCCCTGCTCCCAAAGGTCTAATGCAGTGAGACTGATTATTTTGTCTTAAGTAGTGTTTGTTTTGTTTTTGAGACAGACTCCCACTGTATAGTCTAGGGGGGCCTCAAACTCACAGCAGGCCTCCTGCCTCAGCCTTCTGAGTGAGGGGGTTACATGTGTGAGCCACTGTGTCTGGCTCGTAGGTGTGAACTTAACATCCACAGCGGCTTCTCTCCCCTCCTGCTCTTCCTGTTCTTGAACTTGGGCTTTCCAGCCACAGTGTGAGCGCTGTGAGACAGAGTGATGTCTCTCTTAGGGTTATGCCGTTAGCTCTTAGCTAGGGACAGTAGGACAGTGGGCACGGAGGCCGTTACCTGTAGCATGGAGGCACAGCAGAGGTGATGGAAGCCTGAGCAATAGTCATCGCAGGCCACACACTAGAGGATGGGAATTAAAAAGTGTTTCTTGTGAGCTCCTGAGGTGAAGATTTTTGTCAGAGTGCTTATAATTAAAAGTTTGATACACGAAGACGCAAGTCGTGAAATAAATGAAATCGTGTGAAATAAATGGGACATTATTGACATTAAATCTTTCTTTGTAAAGGTAGACAAGAGAAACAGCTAATGACATGTATGTTTCTAAATTTAAAAGACTTGTATATAAAAGCCAGGCATAGGCTGTACATGTCTGTGAGCCTCATGTTTTCAGAGTAGAGGTGAGAAGATTAAGATTGTACAGCTGTCTTTGGCTCCATAAGGAATTTGAAGCCTGCTTGGCTTACAAGAGACCCTGTTTCAAAACACTTCCAACCGATCAACTTGACAAACAAAAAGAGAGGCCCAGGTGTTAAGAGTTCTTACCTGGGACGTATGAAACCCTGGGGTCGGTCCCCTGTGCTATATAAAACAGTTGTGGTGGCAAACACCTGTAATTTCAGTATTCGGGAGGTGGAGCAGGAGGGTCAGGGGTTCAGGGTCACCCTTGGGAGACTTGTGGGCTAGCCTAGCATACGTGAGGCCTTGTTGCCTCCTGCCCACCCCCACCCCCAGTATGTATTTGATTATGGACTTTTAAAGTTAAATTTTAGGCTGAATCATGAGTTGCTGTTTCTTGCTCCAGTTTAGCTATCTTGTATATTGTAACCTGATAGAAAGCGCTGGCTTGTGTGGGCATGATGATGACTGTCTGCTGCTGTTCTGTTTCCTAGTATGCGCTGCCTCTTCAGCTGGTCAATCACCAGACCATGACAACGTGGATGGAGATCTTTCGGACCATCATTGACAGGGCGGTCCCTCCGGTATGTCGGGGCTGTGAGATGCGCTCTTTGGAAAACGAAACTCCACTATCATATTAGCTAGTAAAATAATGTAACACATAATTAATAATGCTTACTTTTAGAAAGTCAGATCAGCAAGAATATTAAAACAGTAACTATATTTAACTTAAGCTGTTTAAAACATTTTAAACCTTGCTACATATCTCTCTAGTCTTTTTTTCCCTTCATGCATATTTAGAATTTTACTTATAAAAATAGTATATGTAGCTATACCTTCATATTTTATTTTTCATCAAAAATGAAATATAAATATTGTTAATACTTTTCTGGTTGTAACTATTTTTAAAATGAATTTTTATTCCACCTTTAAAATTTCTTTTTAGTGAGTGTGTGTCTGTATGTGTAGGTGGTATGTCATGTGGAAGTACACCATGATGTATGTGTAGGTTAGAGTACTCAGTGAGTGTGTGTGCATGTGTGTGTATGTTGGTGGTATGTCGTGTGGAAGTACACCATGCTGCATATGTAGAGATCAGAGGACCTTGTGGCTCTTGGGGATCAAACTCAGGTCATCAGTGTTGGTAGTAGGCACCATTACCTACTGAACCATCTTGCTGGCCCTCAACTGTTTTTGTACTGTCATTTTAATGTAGTGCTTCATTGCTGGGATGTTTGGGTAGTTTTAATGTTTAAGCTTTTATCTCTTAAGAATGTGATGTAAGTGCTGGGTGGGGTGGATTCAGTGGCAGAGAGGTTGCTTCCTGAGTGTTGGGCTTTCGATAGACCTCGCAAAGCAGGAACAGTGCTCAAGCGTGTACTTTAGTGAACCATGGCTGAAAGTGATTGCTGCAAGTGCACACTGGTTGTAAACCAGCTGTTTCGCAGGTAAAAGTGTCTCAGTGTGATCTGTGGTAGCAACAGTAATGCCTTTCCATATGTCAAGTTAACTTGAGTTGGCCTGAAATCCACTGTTCTTTCTGTCTGTATCTTTTATTTATTTGCATATTTGGGTTGAGACCAAGGACTCTCACATGCTAATCATACTGACATGTCTTCTCCGTTGTCCATATGTGAAACATTTCAAGTTTTAATGTGTCCATGTAGGCAATAAACAGTTCAGTGATTTTTTGCCAACAGTCTTGTTTGTGTTGACCGAATCAAAACTGGGAACTTTTCTCATCCTCCCAGAGTTCTGCTTCTCTTGAAAATCAGTAGGAATACCAGCACTGCCAGGAAAGATTTGCTTAATTCGCTTCACTCTTGTATTTACGGTTGTGAGCCTAGCCTTTAACGGCTGAGCTATCCCTCCAGCCCAACTCACTTAATTCTTAATTAGCCACCTGTAAAGTAGATAGAGTGTATATTCATATAGCAGGCTCGCTTTGAATAGCTATGACTTCATCTGTACCAAAACTTAGGCTGTTTTTGTTCACCAGCATAGGGAAAAATCTGATCTGGATGTTCTTCCCCATCTTAGGAGACTCTTCAGATTGATGAGGACGACCGGCCAGAGCTGGTGTGGTGGAAGTGTAAGAAGTGGGCACTGCACATCGTCGCCCGTCTCTTTGAGCGGTATTACTCCACTTACCGTTTTAACGGTGCCACAGTCGGTGTCTTGGTATTGGGTATGCTAGAATTGAGTCGCTCCCTGATGGTTTTGTCTTTAAAACCATGGAGAGCAGCTGGGCCTAGTGATGTACACTTCTATCCTAAGCCGCAGGGAGGTGTGTGGTGGGAAGGGGGGTCGTGGATGGAGAGTCATTCTCAGCTACGTAGTGAGCTGGAGGCCTGTCTCATGCAACTGAAAACCAGACCAAACCAGACCCCAAAACCCACAGAGGGCAAAGTTTACCAGCTGTTCAAAGTAGGCTTGTGCCCACTGCCCTAGGGATCATAACAAAGTAGGTAGCCCTCTCTGTCTCTTTTCTACTCTGTACAAAACATGGAAACCTTTTAATTTTTACCCCCCCCCCCCAACCGGAAATATTCAGAATTTATGTAGAAGGCACACATGGATACTTGGCTACATAAGAAAGTCAAATTTATTTTTAAAGGCTTTTATTGAAAACATGTTAGGTATAACATTTTTATTCCTTCTAGGAGTTAATTGATTTAGAAATTAGAAATTTCTGTTCAAAAGAGTTCCTCTTGATTCATATTGTATCTTGTGGAGGAAGAGCACGTGTTAGTTTTCTGGCCCAGTGGACGGCATCTTTTAATATCTGTGTTTAAACTAGCAAGGATGCTGTATCTTTAAACTTCACAGTACTTAGATATTTCTTTCTTTTTAATTTTAAGGTATGGAAGCCCGGGAAATGTCACGAAAGAATACTTTGAATTTTCTGAATTTTTTTTGAAAACCTATGCAGTAGGAATTCAGCAGGTAATAAACTTAATGCTTTTAGAATAGAGGAATGCCATTTCTACCTGTTTTAAAGTAGCTTGCTTACATGGTAATTCGTCACACACTCACAGAGGATGAAATGGCAGCTGTGGGAGTCTGGCACAGGGCAACCAGCTTGAGAGCCCTGTGTCGCCCATACGCTCCCACCAGAGCTGCCTTCATGGACTTGGGGGGGGGGCGCCTCAGAGGGTGATGCAGACCTCTCTGTGTTCTTACCAGTTTTTGAGCTTCCCCTTGCCTGTTTGAAGACTTATGCATGGTGAATAATCTATCTCCAGAGTAGTCTAGCTTAGATATCAATGAATACTCTCAGGTAAGAACATACACATGTTCTTGGAGGGTGGAGTATCCATTCCACATAAGGGAAACGTGGAACTCATGAGACTGTTGATGTTAATATTTAAAAACTTTAAAAATTGCAAAGGACAGTGAGCTCTGATTGGTGCATCAAATATTGCCAACTGAATCATGATATGTTTGCTATTTTGTATTTAAATGATAGTTAGTAATTAGCTGTGCCAGGGCCTTTGTAGGAAAGTCAGGACTGCTTAATCAGACAGAATCCAAGGCTTCAATGATACAGAAGGTGTTCATATGTTTTTCATAAATCTCTCAGTAATTTGAAATTAAGTACTTACGGTGAAACAGTTTCTGAAAAGTACTTGATATGGTGTTCATGAGATCCTCTATAGGGGAAATTAGTAAATAATAAGTGAAATTATCTATCCAGATATTCAGTTGTGTCTTTGGCTCTGCTCTGCTGCTGTTAAACTTCAAGAAGTGTCGTAATGTTGATGTCTCTTGAAGTGTGTTTAGAATTTTCTAGTGTCATTTACGCATGCATGAGTATAGTTGTATTAAAAAATGAATGTCGTGTCCATGTGGGTTTGCCAGGAATGTTACCCAAGATGTATACTCTTGATATTTAGAATTAGTTTACTGGCCAGAGCTGTCAGCTGCTGCTGTCTTGAATCTCCCCTATTGCTGTGGTGAGGACCACACCCATTCAGACCATGCCAGACACCAGAGGAAAATGGCAGTGGGCAACATCCTTGCCCACCCGAGATTCACCCATCAGTGCGGTGGGTGCTGGTGGGCTGATCCCCTGCAGTCAGGTGCCGCCTGCTGCTCCTCTGACACGGCCACCACAGGTGTTTGAACCCCAGCTGCGTCAGGACAGCCCTGTTTAATATCATCTTCTCAGCTGCCATTGCAGGAGTTTCTAAGTGATAGTTGTACTTCTTAATTAATCTAGATTTTAGGTAAGTGGGATACAATTCATACTCTGATTTATAAGTTTTGTGCATGTTTTGAAAGATTTAGCAACGCACTTGAAGCCTGACGCACAGTGAAGTGATGGGAAGCAGGGGCCTTGTGCTGTCCCCAAAGGCCCTTGAGCCGCCACAGCCGCTTCTCAAGGTTCTTTCTTATAAGCAAGAATGTGATCGGCCCGTAAGAAAAGTCAACTTTGTGTTATGTTACATAGATTGTCTGTGGCCTGACATTATAAAATACAAACATGCTATATTTTCTTCTCGGAACTCCATGCTTTAGGGTTTTTAACTGTCAAAGTGTTTTCCTATCTGGAGTTTATTTTGGTGTGAAGGTTAGTTAGGGATCTAGTTTAATTATTTCAAAGAATAATTGGTTATATCAGCTGAGAGTCCTACATCTGGATTGGCAGGCAGCAGGAAGAGATAGTAACACTGGACCTGGCTTGCGCATCTCAAACCCCAGAGTCCATCTCCATTGTCATATTTCCTCCAACAAGGCCGCACTTCCTAATAGTGCCACACCTATGAGCCTGCAGGGGGGCTGTTTTCATTCAAACAAGCACACTAGCCATGGACTAGAACGTAGACCTATTCTGAGTAGCATATAGGTTAGAAGTCAGTGAGATATCTCTTAGCTCAGTGTAGCATCTCAAAAGTAAATTGTCTGCATGAGCTTTCTCAGAATCTCCCCCAAATCACTATCTCTACAGTATTTTATGTCATGTCTTAAGCACCCCTTTGCTCTTTAATGTGGTAATTGTTCTGTGTTCATCTCCCCAACCCCCACCTGTTTTCCTGTAGGTACTACTAAAAATTTTAGACCAGTACAGGCAGAAAGAATATATAGCCCCTCGTGTTCTACAGCAAGCATTCAACTATCTCAACCAAGGGGTTGTCCATGCTGTGACCTGGAAGCAGATGAAGCCACATATACAGGTTAGTGTTGGTGGCTCTCTTACCACTGTTGGTTAAGTTGGGTTTTCTAGAGAAAGTGGAAGTGTTGTTTTGTCCTCTGTTTTCTACTTAACCTCTGTTTCCACTAACAATAATTACTAACAAGTACAGTCTTACAATGAAGGGCTCCCAAAGTTCAAGCATTTGAGGAGAGAGAGAGATCTTCAGGATTGTGGGTTGGGAGGCTTGGAGTGAGGTGATAATCATTTTATTTAGCCTTGGCTTCTGCTCTGTTTTCTTGACCCTTGTGTGAAAACATTTTGAAAGCTGCCCAGCCTTCAGCTTTTAAGTGTTTAGTCAGCCCGAGTGCTCGGCTATTGCTGTCTTATCTGGATGTGAATGCAGGCTGAGAAGGATTACTGTGGCTCTGGAAAGACTAATGTTGTGGGTCTTGTTGGGATGGCCTGAACCCAACTGTTTTGTTTGTTTCCCACCTTAGAATATCTCTGAAGATGTGATTTTTTCTGTGATGTGTTACAAAGATGAGGATGAAGAGTTGTGGCAAGAAGATCCATATGAATACATAAGGATGAAGTTTGGTAATTGAGACGACTTTTCCCTCAGCATTTCCTGGTCATGTAAACATGCCTAATTTGTATTTCTAAGCAGTTCTGCTCCGTACGGTGAACTCTGAAATTCGAAAAAGTTTGATGTATTCTTCACCAAGGAGCTTGATGCCGTTGGGTGCTGGAGAGGAAAGCAGCCTTGTTCATCTCTTTTGGCAGAGCTAAGGTCCTTGTCGAGTGGTTTGTCACCCAGGCTGTGTGGATGACATGGAGGGATCACCTTTTCTGTGGTTTTACTGCATAGCACTCATATTCTGGGATAGGCTTGGGTCCCTGTATATGTCAGAAGCACCTCAACTTGATTTGCTTCCATCTCCCTTGGATTACGCATTCCACCAGGGAATAGGGTTTCCTTTATCGGCCTCACTCTGTATAACCCAGTTCCTTTGGGGATCTTTTTGGCTTGGTTCTTTCTAGAAGCTGTTGAGCTGAGTAGGTTGTCTGATAATGACTCGCCCTTTCTCAGGGTAAAGCCCTGTGCAGATGTTATCATATGTAAGTGTGTATCCTGGAGCTGAGATGTGTCAGAGCAGGAATGTTAGTTACCATATCTATTTACTTTATTTTATATTCTTTTTTCCCCTCCTCATTTCTATGTTCTCCTGGTCTTGATTGGCACTAGTCTAGTCTGCCTTCAGTAATGTTGAAGTAAAGACTGCTATTTTAAAACTGAGGTATGTTGAAGGTGCTGTGAGAAAGTTGCTGTTCACTTGTTGAGCCAGGTGTCCAAAGTTCCAAAGTTGACTCCTGCCAGGGCCCGCCTCGTGGGACGTTGAATGATTGCAGGAGGAGCGTTCTCCCTCTCAGGAAAACAAGGGAAGGACATTGAGCATCTCCATTCTCTCTCCATTCTGCCCCCTCCTTCGAAAGTCATTGTCCTGTGCAGGATTTGCTTCCCTCTTCCCCTGTCTCACGTGGCCTTAGGCTCCTGGCAGTCTTCACGACTCAGTTTTCCAAGGGCTGCATTTGTAGGGATGTGCCGTCTTGCCTGGAAGAGTGAGCCTAGGGCTCCACGTGTGATAGGTCTACACCGAGCTAACCTCCAGCCCTTACCCGTTCTTCAGACGGCTGACACTAGGGCTCCACGTGTGATAGGTCTACACCGAGCTAACCTCCAACCCTTACCCGTTCTTCAGACGGCTGACACTAGGGCTCCACGTGTGATAGGTCTACACTGAGCTAACCTCCAGCCCTTACCCGTTCTTCAGACGGCTGACACTAGGGCCCCACGTGTGATAGGTCTACACTGAGCTAACCTCCAGCCCTTACCCGTTCTTCAGACGGCTGACACTAGGGCTCCACGTGTGATAGGTCTACACCGAGCTAACCTCCAACCCTTACCCGTTCTTCAGATGGCTGACACTGTTTATTTTTATTTTTTTAAAAAACATTTTAGTTTATGTATGTGTGGATGCCTGAGAAGACCAGAGAGAGTATTGTATTCCTTAGAACTGTGGTTATGATTGTGAGCTGGCTGGTGTGGGTGCTCGGGAACTGAACTTGGGTCTTCTAGAAGAGCAGCAAGTGTTCTTAACCATTGAGACATCCACATTAACTGCTCAGCTGTCCTGGGATTAAAGGTGTGCATCACCACAGCCAGGCTTAATTCTGGCATCTTTTTTTTTTTTTTTATGCTATAATGCAATAATAAACAAAGCTCTTTCATGTTTGCTCTCAGCCACTTGCTCTACTGAGTAATTACACACTTCACCAACTGGGGCTGGAGAGATGGCTCAGCAGTTAAGAGAACCGGCTGCTCTTCCAGAGAATCCAGGTTTGATTTCCAGCATCCACAAGGTGGCTTACAACTATCTGTTAACTCCAGTTCCAGAGGGTCTGACTCTCTCTTGTGGCCTCTCTGGATATCAGGCATGAATGGGGTATCCCGATATGCATGAAGGCAAAGTCTCATACACATATACATATACTTCTTTTTTTTTTTTTTTTTTAATTTATAAGTTGGTTAGAAGAGTATTGGTAACTGAGAAAAGTCACTGAGGAGTTTTCCCCTGGCATGATAGAGCGGTTCGTCTGTCAATTGACACAGGTGTTGTGTTTTCAAAGGACCACTAGAAAGAAATTTATTGCATTCCTGTCTAAATGTACTGACTAATATTAAAACGGTTTTTTTTTAAAAATAATATTCTGTAATCAGATTTGTACCAGTCCTAAGAACAGTGTGTTTAGATGTGGTGAAAGCTGACCTGAGCTCAGGCTTTGATGCCGTGGAAGCCTAAGGCCAATGATACAAGCTTGCATCCCTGTGCACCTGTGACTCCGCCTCTGTGAGAGGCGGGGCTTTCAGCTATGAGTGGGATACCAGAGGAATTGAATCCTAGCGTAAAGTTATAGTGTAGTCCTCAGCGTGGAGTAATTACTTTTGGGGGTGGGGACTTGGGAGACAGGGTTACTCTGTGTAGCCCAGACTGTCTTTGAACTTGATCTGTATTGCAGGCTGACCTCGAACTCTCAGAGATCCACCTGCCTCTGACTCCTTAGTGCTGAGATTAAAGGCAAATGCCGCCACCACCACTGCCACTGGCAACTTTTCAAATTCTTAATGAAATTGTTGTGAAATTGTGGACATTTTCATGGTACTAAGTGGTATTTAAGTACTTCAGCATTCAGCACATGATCTGTTGGATGCCAGGCCCTCCTTAGAACCCTCCCCTGATCTTCCCTCTGCCTACCTGCTGTATAGTTCATTCATGCCACCTCTATCTCTTAATTCCTAGAGGAGTGCTCGGCACATAGAACACCCTGAGCAAGTTTCTGTTGCATTTTGATAGAGGTGAAGCACATTCCTGTGTTGAGAGAAATGTGTATCTGAGCTGTATTGCTTTTCTTTAATCTTACCGCTTGAAAGGTTGAACACATGGCGTTTGCTGAAGATTAAACCACAGATTAGATCAGATTGTGCATGAGAACTCTGGGACCACGACCTTAGCGTCTTTATTCCGTAATCCACTGGCCGGGTTTGAAGTCTGTGTGATAAAGAGTTGTATTTTTTATTAACAAGACTCATTTTGACGTTTTAGATATTTTTGAAGATTATGCTTCCCCCACCACTGCAGCCCAAAACCTCTTGTACACAGCTGCGAAGAAAAGGAAAGAGGTACACAGCTGACAGCAATGAAAACTAGCTTGCATTGGCTTGACGCTCTAGCGATTCATTATCATTATTACCTACAGCCTATCATTTTAAAGGTTTTTTTTTCCCCCCAAGTAAAAGGTTGAAGTATCTTTGATACCTTTCTCTTGAGCTTACAGTTGATGAATAAAGCACAGTAAATATGCTTTAATTTTGAAAATTAAATTTGAAAATGTGCATCATATTTAACATGGTGGTGACAGGATGGAGATTCATGCAACTTGAAATGGACTCTTCTGTTTCTTTAGGTGTTGCCAAAAATGATGGCGTTCTGTTATCAGATACTAACAGACCCGAACTTTGACCCTAGGAAGAAAGATGGAGCTCTGCATGTGATTGGTTCCCTGGCTGAGATTTTGTTGAAGGTTAAGACTATCAATTTCTTTCTTTCTTTCTTTTTTTCCCCCCTATGTTGGAGGGTATTTGTATAGTGTATATGTGATAATGTGAGTGTTCATGTGTATACACACGTGTTTTGAAGGCCAGGGTGAGGTGTCTTCTTCCTCTGTGGCTCCCATTATTCATTTTTGTTATTTTACTTACTTTATATGTGTGTGGGTGTTTGTCTGCATGTGTTGTCTGTGTACCATGTGCATGCCTGGTGCCTGAAGAAGCTAGAAGGAGGTGTCAGATTCCCTGGAGGTTATGAGGTTGAACCTGGGTCCTCTGGAAGAGTAGCCAGTGCTCTTAACTGCTGAGCCTTCTCTCCAGGTGCTATGTATTTGTTTTTAGGCAGGTCTCTCATTAGTTTGGAACTTACCCATTATTAGACTGGCTGGCCATTGAGCTTTGGGGATTTGCCTGTTGCTGTACTCCCCACCACCCCCACGCTTGGATCACAAATATGCGCTGCTACACCATTACTCCTGGCCCGTGTGGGAATCCCAGTTCGGGGCCACGTGCTTGTGTGGCAGACAGGTCACCAAATGAGCCATTTTCCCAGCTCAGATGATCAAGACTTGAAGCCGCTAATCGGCTCAAGTCAAACAGAGTGTGAAAATTCTGGGTGACTAATTCTAATTGACTGGCTTTACTGTAAATATCCTTTCCTTTGCAACTTACATACATTTTTTAAAAATATACTTCTTGTTGTATGTTTGGGTTTTAAAAATATCTTAATTTTTTTCCAGTGTAATGTTTTTATTGGTTGTTTGGGAATTTGACATCATGTGCTCTGATCACACTCACTTCTCAGTCCCCCCACCCTTGTGACCTCTCCTTCCCCCCAAAAGAAGGAAAGAATTTGTTGCTAAATTTTCTACATGTCCCTTTGTGTGTATGTCCCACCACACAGGGACAGAGGTCAGAGAGCAGCCTGTAGGGTTGGGAGTTGTTTCTTTCCTGTCTTTCATGTGTGTCCAGGGGGTGAAATCCAGGTGATTAGCTTGGTGGCAGCATGTTTAATTGCTGAGCTATCTCACCGACTCTATCACCTACTTTCTTAGCTAAAAAGAAAATTTACTTTTGCCAGTGAAACTACAGCTCTGTTAGAAAGATCTGAAATGATTTTAGTGTAATTTCTTCTTTCTACAAGAGCGAGTTAATATAGAATTGTCCTTAGACACTGTTCCTGACTCGTTTTAGCGATGCAATGTGTGGATCAAAGAAACAATTCTACAGAACTGGTTGTGAAATGCAAGTCATCGTAAGCACACTTTTCGGGGAGTGGCCGCTGAAATAGACTTTCTGTTCTTTCTTAACAGAAGAGTTTATTCAAGGACCAAATCGAGCTGTTCCTACAGAATCATGTATTTCCGTTACTGTTGTCTAACCTGGGATATCTTCGAGCTAGGGTAAGTTTTCTTTACATCTGTTAAGAATTTTAAGATCTCGCCTGTAGGGTAGTTTCTGAAGTGAATGTGATGTGTGAAAGACTTTTCATGTGTGACATTGTCACAGGTGCTGTGACATGTGTGCCCTTTGACACACACAGAGCACTCTTCTCCCAGTGGCTGTCCCCTGCCGCTGCCACAGAGCGCTGCCACACAGTCACTGCCACACATTCACGGCCACACAGTCACGGCCACACAGTCACTGCCACACGGTCACTGCCACACAGTCACTGCCGCACAGTCACTGCCGCACAGTCACGGCCACACAGACACTGCCACACAGTCATGGCCACACAGTCACTGCCACACGGTCACTGCCACACGGTCACTGCTACACAGTCACTGCCACACAGTCACAGCCACACAGTCACTGTCACACAGTCACTGCCACACAGTCACGGCCACACAGACACTGCCACACAGTCACTGCCACACAGTCATGGCCACACAGTCACGGCCACACAGTCACGGCCACACAGTCACTGCCACACAGTCACGGCCACACAGTCACGGCCACACAGTCACTGCCACACAGTCACGGCCACACAGTCACTGTCACACAGTCACTGCCACACGGTCACTGCCACACGGTCACTGCTACACAGTCACTGCCACACAGTCACAGCCACACAGTCACTGTCACACAGTCACTGCCACACAGTCACGGCCACACAGTCACTGCCACACAGTCACTGCCACACAGACACGGCCACACAGTCACTGTCACACAGTCACGGCCACACAGACACTGCCACACAGTCATGGCCACACAGTCACTGCCACACAGTCACGGCCACACAGTCACGGCCACACAGTCACTGCCACACAGACACGGCCACACAGACACTGCCACACAGTCACTGCCACACAGTCACTGTCCCTTCTCTCGTTGCAGTCCTGCTGGGTGCTGCATGCATTTAGCTCCCTGAAGTTTCACAATGAGCTCAACCTCAGAAATGCAGTTGAATTAGCAAAGAAGAGCCTGATTGAAGACGAGGAGATGCCAGTCAAGGTGGAAGCTGCCCTTGCGCTGCAGTCACTGATCTCTAACCAGACTCAAGGTGATGCCATGTTTTACTTTTTTTTTTTTTTTTTCTTTTAATGAATGGCCTTAAATCATCTCATTCACTCCCTTCCGTAAAGAAGATTCTGATCCTGTGGGTCCAGGGTTTAGATCCCTTCCCTGCTTCTGAATTTTATAGGTACGTATTCTGCCTGTTTTAGGAGTTCTGTTAGTTAATAATTGCTGGGTACTGGGGTGAGTTGGGCCTTAAGACACCTGGACCAGCTTTGGTGCTCTCTGACTGGCCACACGAAGCTGGGAAGGCATCCGGCCTCCTCCATCTGCAGCTTACAAAGCTGACAAGGCTCTAACTCTGTCAGCCCTCATTTCCTCCTGTGTCAGTTCAAGAAGTAAGATTGGACAGCACGAGATTAAACTCCAGGGTCTCTGTGATCCTACCAGTTCAGAAAGCGGCAAGTAATGTTTCCAGTGGGCAGTGACACAGGTGTTTTGCTTGTTTGTTTAAGATCCAAATAACCTTTGCAAGTAAATCCAGCTTTACGAGAACATGAGCTCGTGTCCTATTTTGGTGGGAAGTCTGGATGAGGCGTAAAGATGTGCTGATGGGTGGGGTGGGTAGAGATGGGCAGGACAGCGGCAGCCCTGTCAGAGCTGCCCGTAGAACCTGTGGGCAGGAGTCCTCACACTGGTCGTGGGGACCCACAGTCAGACTAATGACACATTTGTGTAATTGGGATTTCTCAGGGTGAGGGTGCAGAGCTGTCGGCCTTTGGGGTAGGGTACCTCTTCCTTAGGCAGAGCACCACATCCTGACGCTGTGTGACCCCAGGAGGGTTTATGACTTGCTGTCACAGCACAGCGGCACCTAGAGCCTTATCTACGTCAGAGTGTGTGAGTGACCAGCTCCTCCTATCTCTTTTATCTGACTGCATTAGCCAAGGAGCACATGAGACCGCACGTGAGGGCCATCATGCAGGAGCTGCTGCACATCGTCAGGGAGACGGAGAACGACGATGTCACCAACGTCATCCAGAAGATGATATGTGAGTACAGTCAGGAGGTGGCCTCCATCGCTGTCGACACAACCCAGCACTTGGTAAGTGTTGGATGACTTCCTCTGGGGAGGTGCAAACAAGCCTCTGTTCACTCCAAGTAGGGCACCCATGAAAGACTAAAGAAATGATTCTACTCAGGTCTCACTTGGTGAGCCAGTGAGTTTATTGGGGTTGCTCACAGAGTGGCTGACACAGGGCAGCTGCATCACTGAAAAGCCTGTTCTAACATGGCCGACTATTAAAACTGCATCCCTGAAGTGTCCCTGCATAACTTTCAGGCAACTCATGCTCTTCCAGCACTTGCTGCCTTTACAATTTGGAGAGGAGCTGTGTGAGTCTTAAGAACGTTCTGAATTCCCTTTGTGAACCTTGTAAGTTTTGTTTGCTTCCTGAGTCTGATAAGCCTTCCCCTTCCCTTCCACTCTCTTCACGAGGAAATAGCCACACAGCAACAGTAAGAATGGCCTAAGCGTGTACTAGTTTGGTAAAGAACCTTTAATAGGGACTGGAGAGATGGCTCAGGGGTTCAGAGCACTGGCTGCTATTCCATAGGACCTGGGTTCAATTCCTAGCACCCACATGGCAGCTCGAAACTGTAACTCCAGTTCCAGGGGATCTGATACCTTCTGGCTTGCATGGCATCACCCATGTGTGTGGTGTATAGACATATATGCAGGCAAAACACATACACACATTAAAAAAAAGCCCCAAGGAATCTAAATAATGCCTCCCCCAAATAAATTAAACTTAAGAATTTGGAGTTGAGTTTTATTTATTTATAAACAAAATCTTAATATGACGGTGTTTACCTTAGTCATTAAGATATTTCCAAGGTTGGGTTGATGAGCCTTAAATCAACCCCATTCAAGGCAGTCCCTTTCACCTGTAACTTCCTGAAATGCCATAACGACGCTCTTGATTCGAGCCCAGCACTTGATGTGAGCCATCAGAACTCTTACTTTTGCATTTGGAACTGGAATTTCATTTCCCTTATTTGGAAACTTGTAGTTATTTTTATTGTATATGTACACTGTGTGTGTGTGTGATGCAGAATGTGGAAGTTAGAGGAAAACTCTATAGAATTGGTTTTCTCCTTCCATCTTTATGTGTGCTCTGGGGATTGAACTCCCGTCACCAACCTTGTGCGGCAAGTGCCTTTTCCCAAAGAAGCATCTTGCCAGTCCAGGAGAATGTTTTTGTTGTTGTTGTTGTTGCCTCTTTGATACAGATGTTTCTGTTGTTTTCTCCCCTCTTTCACACATCTTAATGTGGAACATGAGACTGGAACTGAGTCCTACTCCCATTTCTTTTCTTCTCTCTGTCTGTGTCTGTTTTTGTTTAATCTCTGAGTGATCTTTGATTTCATCTTCTAAACGTTTCTGCCACATCTTTTCCAGTGTCTCTAGATTTTGATTTCATCTAAAGATAACTAGAAGTTAAATAAATACTAGTCGGTGGTTATAATAGCTAGTATGTGTTGCATGTCAGTGACTATTAACGGGCGCAGAGGGGCGTTCCTCTAAATGTGACACAGTCTTCAGTCAACAAGTGCAGAACTTAGTTTCTGAGAAACACTAGCACTTGGGTGTGCAGCACGGCCCCTCGGCCATGGTGCAGTGGGACCAGCCAGTGAGTTTTTTAATGTAATTTTTACAGGCTGAGATATTTGGTAAAGTTCTCCAAAGTGAAGAGTATGAAGAAGTCGAAGACAAAACTGTCATGGCCATGGGAATTTTACATACGATCGACACTATCTTAACAGTTGTGGAAGATCATCAGGAGGTGGGAGTCCTTGTGTTTTACTATAATGGTTATAGTAACCGAAATTTACATGATCAGAGTTAATAAATTCTTGTCTTTGTAGTTTGGGTGTGTGCTGTGTGTGAGTGAGTGTGTGTGTGTGTGGTATGTGTGCTCGCTATCACGTGTGTGTGGGAGTCAGAGCATAGCTCTTAGGAGTCTGTTTTCTTCTTCCATTGTGGGTTTTGGGGACTGAACTCAAGTGGCCAGGCTTTTGTGGCAAATGATTTTTTTCCCTTTAATTTATTTTTAAAATTTATGTATTTGTTGTGTGTATATTGAATGTATGTACACACGTGTGTGGGTGTCCTTAGAGGCCAGGAGAGGGCATTGGATTTCTTGGAGTTGGAGTTTTATATAGGCAGTTGTGGGCCACCTGACATGGGCACTGGGTTATGAACCCAGGCCTTCTGAAAAAGCAGCAAGCACTCCTGAGCCATCTCACCAGCCTAAAGTTTTGCTATTAAAGATTTATGTTTAATTATATTGGTAAGTTTTAAAAATTGTCCTCACTTCAGCATTTATGCAGGAAGATTTCAATTCCGTGGCCAGCCTGGGCTAGGTAGTGAAATCCTTTCTCCAAACACACAGACAGATAAATTGAATTTCTCTCAAACTTTAAAGTCATTTGTTCAGATGATTGAGGAGGAAGTTACACATTTATTGAAAGTAAACGGCATAATGCCTTTGTATTAATCTGGGTCCAGGTCATCATATCTACTGGATTTGATGAATTTCTGTGAATTCCATAATCTAATCTTAGTGGAGAAGGATAGAGCTTTCTATTACAGTGACAGGTTTTAGTAAAGGAGCAGCGTTGTGATGCAGAAGGTACAGAGGTACAGTAAGAATGGAAAGGAGTAAGCAAGAACTTGACATCCAAATCCCAGAGGAACACTGAGCTATGGAACTAACTTTTTGAGGCTGCAGAGATGGCTCAGTGGTTGAGTACTGGCTGTCCTTCCAGAAGATCAGGGTTTAATTCCCAGCACATACACATGGCAGCTCACAACTGTCTGTAACTCCAGTTCCAGGGTACCCAGAACCCTTGTACAGATATACATGCAGGCAAGCCACCAATGTACATAAATAAAAGAATTAACTTTTTGAGACAGGATGTCATGTCACGCAGGCTGACCCCAAACTTTCTCTGTAGCCAAGGATGGCCTTGAACTCTTGACCCTCCTGTCCCTATCTTTTCCCATTATGTTGGGACAAAACAGGTATATATCATTAAACACTTTCTGCAGTGCTGGGGGATGGAATCCAGGCCTCCGTGCATGCCAGGCAAGGGTTAAGAGCTTGGACTTTCTGTTCAGTGGTCACTCCTCAGCTGGGTAAATAATGTTAATAGGTAGCAGTCTCCTTTGCAGAGGCAGAAATGTTTAGGGTTATTGTACCTGGTCACAATAACCAGATATGACTAGTTATAACTTATAACTAGTTATAGGTCTAGATTTGTCACTGGGCCATTCTTGTCATGCATCAGCCTTTCCAACCCAGTCCATCTGGGTTCTCCTTTCCAAGTGGAGCATGGCCTTTCCTTAGAGAAGATTAGCCGTGTGCTTGTTGCATCTGTGAGCTGAGCACAGGCTGCTCTGTTTGGCAGTGACAGCTCTGATCAGTAAGTGAGGGTTTGGGAAGCAGGTGCCCGGTCTTTACAGTGTGCCATTAGCCATGTGACCACAGGTTCATCCCGTGTTTGTAAGGCACTCAAGGGATATTACTGAAAAGTGCAGCGTTACTCTGCTGTACCTTCCTGCACTCAATATTTTATTTTTGTGTTTCCATGTTGAAACTAGTCTTCTTGGTAACAGTGAGTTAGACCAAAGTGACTTAGAATAGTTATACTTAAGCTAACTGTACTTCTTTCACCTCGCATTTTCAATTTCATGAGACCTAAGAAATCACTAAATTCAGTTTTCCCAAGTATGGATATGGTGAGGAGAGCAAATTGCAGGGTTGTTTTGAAAACAATAGCATTTTGCCTTTTGCTTAATCTTTTTTATCTTGATATTAATTTTTTTGAACTTCATAATACTGGGCATTCAGAATTAACTATAATTATCAAAGGAGGAATGAGTTAAAGTTGAGACACACTAAGCAAACTACATCTGGCTTCCTGCCTAGAGATGAAAATGTAAAACCTTCAGCATAATTAGAGGCAAACCTGGCTGCCATCTGGCCTCCTGGTCACCTGTTCTTACTTAACTTTCTTGAAGATTAAAATATTTTTTTATTCTTTTTTTAGATTTAATATAATCATATCATTTCTTTCTTTCCTTTCCTCCAGGCCCTTTCTTATACCCCCCCCCTTTTTACTCTTTTTCAAATTTATGGCCTCTTTCTTTATTAATTGTTACATAAATATATGTATATTTTGTTACATATGTGTGCGTGTATCTACATGTGGGTGTATGCACACATGTATGGATGTCCTTGGAAGATGCATCGTGTCCCCAGGAGCTGGAGTTACTACAGGTCGTTGTGCACTGCCTGACATCTGTGTGTTCTAGATTTGTCACTGGGCCATTCTCAACACACATCAGCTTTAACAGCTGAGACATCTCTCCTGCCCCATTCATTAACTTTGAACTTCTACTTAGTAAAAGTGAACTCTGGAAGCCATACTTCTTTCAGAGAAAAACATACCTATAGTTACTTAGAAAGGGCAAAATTGGGAACTTGAAATAGGTTCTCAAGCAGGATCATTTTTATCTGATGTTTTAAGGGTGTCAGTAGAGTCTACCTTTTGGGTCATTTGGACTTCAAAATAGTAGTTTAACATTTACCAAGTTATCAAATTGTACCTACAAATTACTATTTCAGTTAAATAAAAAATACCCAAAATAAAAGTAAAATTGAATATTCACATATGTTCTAAGGTTGAATTATACTTTTACATGAAAGTGTATCTCACCACTGACTTTAAATTTTACTCATTTAAAAAATACCTGATATAAAAGCCAGTAATACTGTTGTACAACTTTAATCCCAGCACTCGGGAGGCAGAGGCAGGCAGATCTCTGTGAGTTCAAGGCCAGCCTGGTTTACGGAGTGAGTTCCAGGAACAGCCAGAGATGCATAGCGAGACCCTGTCTTGGGGGGAAAAAATCTGATACATCAGTTAGTCTCTGGAGGAATGGCAGGAAGGTGTGTCTGTGAATTTGAGGCCAGTCTGGTCTACTATAGTAGATCTATGATGTAGATAGTGAGTTCTAGGTCAGCCAGGCTATACAATGAGACTCTGTCTGGGGGTGGGTATATGTATGTGTTGATTATTGGATAATTGAAGTCATGAAAAGATATTTAGTTAAACTCACTGCTTGTTCAGTTCTCCAGTTACCAAGTTCTTTTCTCAGAGTGGTAGTTTCCATCAGGTGTATTATTATTATTATTATTATTATTATTATTATTATTATTATTATTATCTTTCTTAGATTATTTTCTCCCACACTAGTAAAAAGTGAGTGCTTATATATGTCTTTCATGGAGATGATAATGTCTTTTGCTAAAGTTCACACTGCTCCCCCAGGGAAGGAATAATATCCACCTCCCTCAATCCAAGGTCCCAGTGAGAAACCAGAGTTTGAATCTACCACAGTTACCCTGGAAAATCATAAAGTTTATTGAGTTTACATTGTATGTTGCACTTAGACTGTGTAAAGATGTGTCATTGTGATTGGTTTAATAAAGAGCTGAATGGCCAATAGCTAGGCAGGAAGCGGTTAGGCGGGACTTCTGGGGACAGAGAGGACTCTGGGAAGAAGGAAGGTGGAGATGCCAGGAGATTCAGGAAAGCAGGATGTGCAGGAGGAGAGGTAACAGCCATGAGCCATGTGACAGAATGTAGATTAATATAAATGGGTTAATTCAAGGTATAAGAACTAGTTAGAAACCACCCCAAGCTAAAGGCCAAACTTTCATAATTAATAAGAAGTCTCTCGTGACATTTGGGAGCTGGCATGACAGAGAAAGACTTGTTACAGTTGTGGGTGAGCCCCAAGGAGCTGCACTGGAATGTCTTCACACAGCATGGGTGTTGGCTTCCTCACAAATGAAGGGCCTCTTCAATTACCCCTCCCCCTACTTTAGCCTATATACTTTAGCCCCTCCCCAATACCCCGAAGCCATGTGCATTTAGGGCAGAATTGTATATATATGGCTGGGATGATTCTCAAGTTTGGGTCCAGTGATTCAGTAGTTGACAAACCTGCTCTTGATGGACTCTTGTAGGCAGAGTTGAGCTGCAAAAAATTATACAGTTGTTTTAACTGACATATCTTACTTGATATAGCCTATGATTCTTCTGTATCAGTCAGTAAGCATATAGTTTTGGTGGTTTTAATAGTTCTCTTGTTTGTGTGTTACATTTACACAGCCAGTCCATAGTGAGTAGACACTTACATCCCTGTTGAATGGATTTTTGGTTGTGACAGTCACAGATATTGTTGCACTGAATGGCCTTATCCATGTCCTGTAGCTGTGGGTGAGCCCCTTGAGGAGATGATGTTGGCTGAGATCACATATGGGTGTGTAATCCCGAGATCAGAGCTACCCCTCACTTCTGACTCGGTGTCATATCCAGTGTTGTGTGAGAGTGACCATCTCTTCATGAGCTTGAGGTGCTTTTTGTTTTTAAAGACAGATTTAGCTGGTTTTTCTATCAGGTTGTTAGATTTTATGTATAAGGGGAATTTGATACTGTTTGTGATACCACTTGACAATATTTCAGTCCGTTTGCATCTGTCTTGATCTGGACCTGCGCTTGTGCACAGGTACTTGACAATTTTGCAGTCAGGTGGTTTCTTATTTTGGTTGTAACTTTTTTTTTTTTTTTAACTTCCTTATGGTTACACAAGGATTCTTTTACTTTTTGTGGTATTTTTATGTTATAGTTTTTTTTACATAGAAATCATTGTTCCTTAGAAATTCATTTGGTGTAGAATATGAGGTAAGAAGTATCTAATTCTAATTTTCCATGGATTTAACTTCCCTTCCTATCATTGGTCTACTTTCAGAATTTTCTTGTATTTTTGCATATTTAAGTTTCACGTGAAGATTGCAACTTCTCCTCTCAAAAATATGTGTAGATATTTCATTGGGATAATATTAATTTATATGATAACCTTAGGATGGTCACAGTGAAGCTTAGACTCTTTAAAATTTATCTTTAGATCACCCAGCAGTTGGAGAACATCTGTCTGAGAATCATCGATCTTGTTTTACAGAAGCATGTCATTGGTAAGTTCAGATAAAGGTTAACTGAGATTTCTTTTCAATTTAATGAACCTAAACGTACATTTTTGTAGCTCTGTAGACCTAGTGAAGTATACAGTTTAGAGGGGAGCTTTCTTTCTTCCTTTCTCTCTCTCTCTCTCTCTCTAGTTTTGTTTTTCGAGACAGGGTTTCTCTATTGTTTTGGAGCCTGTCCTGGAACTAGCTCTATAGACCAGGCTATACTCGAACTCACCGAGATCCTCCTGCCTCTGATTCTGCTCCTGAGTGCTGGGGTTAAAGGTGTGTACCACTATGCCTGGCTAAAATTTGATTTTTTTTTTCTTTTTTTTCTCCACAAGATTTCACTATGCTGCCTTGGCTTTGCCTGGAACTTGCTATGTAAACCAGGCCGACCTTGAGCTTAGAGTTCAGCCCGCCTCTGCCTCCAGAGTGCTGGAATTAAAGGCATGTGCCACTGCACATGGCCTATTAAAGTTTCTTTTCAGTACTATGAGCAGATTGTTGCCTTGCCTTGTTGAGTAGAGTTGAAGGCAGCCTCTCTGGCTGATGCCGCTGAGGAAGGAAGGTGTTCAGGGGAGCTTGTGGCATATGAAAGTGATGTGTGTGAGTCCTCTGTGTGGTTCCTTTAATCTCTCTGTTCCTTCACATTCTAACCAAAGGTTTTTTCCTTCTAGAATTCTATGAGGAAATCCTTTCCCTGGCCTACAGTTTAACCTGCCATGCCATCTCCCCACAGATGTGGCATCTCCTGGGCATTTTATACGAAGTTTTCCAGCAGGATTGCTTCGAGTATTTCACAGGCATGCTACAGTTTTCCCTTCTTTGTAGATACTCTTCCCTTAGCGCTTGTTGATTCAGTACTAATCAGATGTTTTCATTTTACTGCCCAGGAAATGGGGGCAGCGACCATAGCGGTGTTTCAGCCTTTAGAGAGGCACAGGAAGTGCTTGTATGTCTCCTTTCTCACACAGTTTGCAACCAGAACGTGTATCCACGTGTTAATTGAGTAAATACTTTTTGAGCACAGCTGTGTCCTAAGCGCTGTTCTCAGCCCAGCGGTCCAGCAGGGAACAGCGGTAGTCCTTCTCTAGTTTTCATCCTAGTGGGAGGGGAGGAGAGCAAGGGTGTACTAACGCCAACCGATGACAGCCTTGGCGGTGTGCCCAGTAGTGCTGAGTGCAGTGAGTGAGAGACTGGGAAAGGTCAGAGGTGATGCTTTGATAAACAGTGAGCATTTTAACCTTCCTCGTCTGCATTTCCTTCAGTCGTAAATAAAGCAGGTATATCACCCCTGTTTCTAGTCTGTGGCTGCTAAGGGAGACAAGTGTTTGAGTGCTAGAGAAATGTGGTTCCAATGGGAACCACCCACTTCTGCTCCTGTTGCACAAGTCTCAGTGGGATTCTGGATCTTTCCCCAGACATGATGCCTCTCCTGCATAATTATGTGACAGTAGACACCAACACGTTGCTGTCCAATCCAAAGCACTTAGAAGTCTTGTTCACTATGTGCAGGAAGGTAAGTGCATTCTGCCAGATGTCATGCGATTCTTCGGAATGTTTGGGTGTTTAGTTTATATTACTTTACCCGAATAGATTTATCAGTTTCATTTTAAAAGTGAGTTTTAAAATGAGTTTAAAAGTTGTGATTGTTGTAATTTTAAAGTTTCACTTTATGTGTTGTACTTTTAAATGTCACTTCAATGTCAATGTACTTTGAAGTTTTTTAAAAAAGTTTTATTAATTATGTATACATGTCTGCCTGCAGGCCAGAAGAGGGCACCAGATCTCATAGATGGCTGTGAGCCACCATGTGGTTGCTGGGAATTGAACTCAGGGCCTCTGGAAGAGCAGCCAGTGCTCTCAACCTCTGAGTCATCTGTCCAGCCCCAGACTTTGAAATTTTTGAGTAAATACAGACATCTCTCTGTATCCATGGAGACCCTTCCAGGACCCCTGTGGCTATCAGACCCCCATGAATCCTTCAGTCTCATAACTAACAAGTATGGTCTTGCCCATAGCCACTCTACATCTCACGAAGCACTCAGCCCACTTTTATAATAATATCCTGCACAATACAGTGCTATATAAATAGTTGTTAAACCATGTGGGTCAAAGGTAGCGACCAGAAGAAGAATCTGCACACATTTAGTGTAGATCTGAGTTTTAAGAAAGCATCTGGCTTATGGTTGGTTGAATCCATGGATACAGAACCTGTGTATAAGGAGGGCCAGCTATCTACTTTTTTTTTTTTCCATTTTTTTTTTTCTTTCAAAAATAAAAATGTAATGGATGCTGGAGAGGTGGCTCAGTGGCTAAGGACACTTATTGCTCTTGCAGAGGACCTGGGTTCAGTTCTCAGCACCCACACGGTGGCTCATACTATCTGTAACTCCAGGTCCGGGAATTTGAATACCTGTGTCTCCCCCCCTCCCCCATGAATGTCCATGCCCTGTTCCCCCTTTTTGTGACCCAAACAGTTTCCTTAGGGCTGTTGACAGTAACACTGGTGTCTTGCCAATGGCTATACCTTTATAGAAAGTATCTCTTGCTTAGCAACCATTCTGAGCTTTTTTGAGCTTACTTAACCCTTAAGATGTTCAAGAGCCCCACTTTTATCACTGGCCTGCTGCTTAGTAAATTGTTCCAGGTTTCAGAGCTCCTGTGTTGGAGCCACGTTTGAACTCAGGTGTGTGGCTCCACAGCCCATTTGTAAATTACCAGATACCTCTTGTTTCCTTACTTTTTTGCAAACAAAGATCAGACAGGCTTTGGGCTCAGCGAGAACTGCCTGTCCCTGCCTTCCAGTGCAGGATTAAAGGCTTGTACCACCACACCTGCCTGGCTGGCAGTTGCTTTTCTAAAAGCAGTGATCCCTCTGGTGGATGGCACAGGCCTTTAATCCCAGCACTGGAAAGGCAGACACAGCTGGAGTTCTCCAAACCTGATGCCAGATGGTTCACAGCGTGAGTTCAAGGCCAGTCAGAGCTACATCGAGATCTTGTCTCAAAAACAAAACAACAAAAAACAAACAATCAGAAAACCAAAACTTATTTCTGTGACTGAATTCATCCTCTGGCACTTATGCTGAGCTAACTTGTCACTCTAGGTACTGTGTGGAGAGGCAGGAGAGGACGCGGAGTGCCATGCTGCCAAACTCCTGGAAGTCATCATTCTTCAGTGCAAAGGAAGGGGAATTGATCAGGTGATACATATTTAAAACGCCTCTTCCTGGACACTTATTAAAAAATGCCCATGCCCGATTGATATTCTACTTATATTTGATGGAAAAGTAAAAAGGCAGGCATAGTTTGTGCTTGCTTATCCAAATTCTATTTGAATGATAGAAAGAAAAAAAAAATGACTCAGAAGCATTCATGGTAATGGTAACAATAACAAAATACAAACAGGAATATAGGAAGTGGAGATCATATGTGGCTTGCAAAGTAAAAATCGTGAGTGCTAGATCCTTTTGAAAGAACCTTTGAGCAGAGAAATGTCAAGATCAAAGGCCAGGGTTTTGGTTGCTGAGTGTGCTACCAACGAACAAGTCTTCTGTAGGCGAGCAAGGAGGCTGTGGCTGGTGGAGGGTGGGAAGAAGAGAGCAGTTTTATGGCAGGAGATTGCATAGGAAGCATCGAAAATAGAAGGCATTAGAGGAGAGAGCCAGGTAAGGGCAAGGACCTAGGTTTGCCTGCAGAACCTTCCCTGGGTAAGGAGGCCAATGGACAGCAGAGTCATGCCACCTACGCTCACAGCCTACAGGTGGTTATAGATTTGACCCTAGAAAACTGTTTGTTTTATGACTCTTGGTTCCTTCCCATTCTCCAGTGTATCCCACTGTTTGTTCAAGTTGTCTTGGAGAGATTGACCCGTGGGGTCAAGACCAGTGAGCTGCGTACAATGTGTCTTCAGGTGGCGATCGCTGCTCTTTACTACAACCCCGAGCTGCTGCTCCATACCCTGGAGCAGGTGCAGCTGCCACACAACCCAGGCCCTGTCACCTCGCAGTTCATAAACCAGTGGATGAACGACACCGATTACTTCCTTGGGTATGTGCCTTTCTTTGCTTTTACATTGCTTCGATGTTTCGGGAAGTTTAGTTTTTAATACAGTGATGTGTTGAGAGATAATCCTTATATCTTGGGGACTACTTTTAGTGTATTACTATTTACATGTTTGAAAATTAAGAGCATTTAAAGAGTTACTTATTCTGTATATGTGCCAGAGTATGTGTGTGGCCACAGTTGTGCCATGGCACGTGTGCAGAGGAACATCTGAGGACTGCTTTCAGGAGTCAGTTCTGTTCTTAAACCACGTGGGTCCAGCACCTTCACCTGCTGATGCATCGCTTTAATCCAGAAAATTAGGAATATGTTTTGAAGTATCACCTGATGGAAAGATATATCATACAGAATAATATAGTTGTTTTTAACTTTTTGTTTTCAAGACATGTTTCATGTGCCTAGGCTGGCCTTGGATTCTTGATCCTCCTGCCTCTACCTTCTGAGTACTGGGCTTTAAAAATTATTTTTATTCACATGTATGTATGTGTGCATGTTTGGGAACCCTCAGAGGCCAAAGAAGTGTTGGCTGTCCCGGAGCTGGTGTTGTAGGTGTTTATAAGCCACTTGTGGGTGCTGGGAATGAATCTCAAGGCCTCCAGAAGAACAGATGTTGTTCTTAACACTGAGTTTTTCCCCTAGCTTTTGTCTTTTAATTTTTATTTGTTTTTAAAAAAGGAAATATTTCATAGAAAAGTATGTCTAACATAAAATAACCAATCATTTTTCCTTTGGAATTAAAATTTCCTTACTCTGTTACAGCAGAGGCTGATGGTAGACATATGTGTAGCCAGCCAGGTCAAGATGCAAGTGCTAACTTTTTGAAGTATTTTTGGCACCTGGGGTTGGTGTAGATGGACCATATTTGCCAAAAAAGCTTGAGGACCAGGCCAAGAGTGCACAGTCTGCCGAGCTCTTAATTTTCCCCAGTGTGTAGGAATCTTATGCTGCCAAGTAGATATTTCAGCTCTAACAGACCTCATTTTGCTAACGTTCAGATACAGCTCTTTCATTAATCAAAGTGGTTTTATTGAAAGATTCAAAATGCTAATTGTAGACTGCTATAAGCCGCCTTCTCCCTCCTGAAATCAAGTCTTATTATAGAGCCTAGGCTGGCCTTGAAATTGCTCTATAGTCCAAGTTTACCTTGAATTTACAGTACCCCTGCCTCAGCATCTTGAGAGATGCAGTATATTGATGAGCCACCACACCTGACCTCCCTCATAGGTCTTTGTGCTAAGAGTTGGTTGGTTTGTTTGTTTATAGAATTAGGCTTACACAGGATTTCACCGGCTTTAGTTTTTCTAGACCAGTGGTTCTCAACCTATGGGTCTCGACCTCTTTGACTAACCTCTATCTCCAAAAATAAGTTACATAATGATTCATAACAGTTGGGACAGCACTAGGAAGGTTGAGAACCACTGCTCTAGAGTTGTCCTTTGTGACCACATCTGCATGTTTCTCAACATCTGTAGACACCATGACCGGAAGATGTGTATAATAGGGCTGAGCATCCTCTTGGAACTGCAGAACCGACCTCCTGCTTTGGACGCCGTGGCTGCACAGATCCTGCCTTCCATTCTCTTCCTGTTCCTTGGCCTGAAGCAGGTCTGTGCTACACGGCAACTGGTAAACCGCGAAGATCCCTCAAAAGCAGAGAAAGCCGACATGGAGGAAAGTGGTAAAGCCTGCTACTTAAGATTTGTGCTATAGTCGATTTTGCTTTTTAAAATTAATTTATCATTAATTTGTTATTATAAAAATTAAATTGTTACTTTATGTGCATGGGTGTTTGCCAACATGCACATTTGTGTGCCATATGTATGCCTAGTACCTGTAGAGTCCAGAAGGTGTTCAGTCTTCTAGAACTGAACTTCAGATTGTGAACCAAATCCTGACCCTCTGCAACAGCAACCACTGCTCTTAACCACTGAGCCATCTCTCCAGCCCCAGATTTTGCTTTAAAAAAAAAAATTATAGTTGTGAGTGCATGTGTGTGGAAGTCAGAGGACAACTTGCAGGAGTTGGTTCATTTCTATCAAGTGGGTCCTAGGGATTGAACTCAGATCTTCAGGCTTGGAGGCAAGCTGCTAACTCACTGAGCCATCTCATTGGTGTATGCCTCTTTTGTTATTTGAGACAGGTCTTGCTTTGTAGCTTGGACTAGTTTAAACTCATGATTCCCCTTCAATCTCCTTGTGTGCTGGGACAGTGTGCATGCACTATCGTTTCTGACTTGAATTTTGATTTGAGCACACGTTTTCTTTACATTTTAGCCTGTTTGGAATCAACAAAGGGACTTACTTTCTTTGGCCAGTGACACATTTAAACTGGGGCTTGCTTGACTTACACATCTTATTATGTGGGGTGCAGTTAAGATCTGTGCCCCTTGATACTTAGACTCTCAGTGACTTCTAAGTGGAGCCCGGTCGATGTGGTTTTGCCTTGAGAAGCATAAGTGTAAGAGAATCTGATGGTCCTGACTATGAATTAGCAACTTAAGACTTACTTTTTTGTTGATACTAACAGGTTCAGTGACAGTAGCTACCATTAACTGAATGACTCCCTAGATTAAGTGTACACTGTCAGAAAAGAGTTTTATAAAGATGGATGTTTTAAAAGTGGTTCTTGGGTAATTCACCTTCAAAAGTTACAATTTCAAGATGTTTAAGGTTTAAACAAACAAGAGTATGTCTACAAACTAGGATTCTGTAGTGGCTTCACATTTCTGGATCATTTCATAATCCCCGTTTTTCATTCTTTTGCACAATTAATGGGTCCACAGAGGAGATTTCCAGTGAGGAGGAGGAGGAGACAAGTGTTACTGCGCAAGCTATGCAGGCACACAATGGCAGAGGCGAAGAGGAAGACGAGGATGATTGGGATGAAGAAGTTCTGGAGGAGACAGCCCTCGAGGGCTTCAGCACCCCATTGGACCTTGACAACAGCGTGGATGAATACCAGTTTTTTACACAGGCTCTACTGAGTATGTCCTCACCTCCCCACACCTCCATTCCTCAAACCTGAATTTTTTTTTTTAAGCATCTTTAATTTCTTCCTATTAGAAGTTGTTTTGGGATCCACTCCCACATTGGTATATATTCTCTAAAATTTTAATCTTTTGCTTTAGAATTATCCAAACATACTTAAAACGAAAAAGGTCAGCACAACGACACCCCCAAAAGCCACCCTAGACTCCCATTGCTGTAGTAGCAGCATCGGGATGGGCTTGCCAGCCATCTCCACAGATGTCATTTCAGGCAGAAGTGTGCCTAAACGGTGTGCTTGGTCTCAGGCAAGAATGGCCTTTCTCTCTTTCACAACTGAGATTTTATTGGTTGAGGAGCAAAGTGCACAGGCATTTCAATCCTTCACGCATGCACCCAATCTCTGAAGAGTCATACATCGTTTTCACGTGCCCAAATGAAAAGCCACATGCTGTTTCCCTTTTAACTTGTTCTAGTGATGTTCCGGCCTCTCAGCTGTCACATAGCACTCACAGCCCTCCATCCCACAGACACACAATTTTATGCCACATACAGCACATACTTGAAATGTGCACCTTTCACAGCACATTACCACAATTGTTAGGAAAACAGATGGCCGTGACCAGAGATGTTACAGTTCTGACAGGGCAAGAACCTAGGAGTGGGTTTTTAAGGAAACACTAGAAACACAAGACCAGATATAACTGAAAATAGTCTAGATACAAACGTAGAACCGAGGCTCCAAATTGCCATTTAGTATGCTTTGTGTTGTAGGATATAAAACTATCCCCCTCTATGGAATGTTGTGGTGACCCCCGAGACAGTCATAGCCTCTCCTGATGCAGGGTCCTGATATTTTCTAGTTGTACCAAAAAATAAGCAACCAGAAAATGATTTAACCTCTTAAAAAATCATTTACACATAAAAAATAGGATGAGGTGTTTCTAGAGCTACTAAAAAGGCTTGAATTTATAAATAGCTGATAAAAAAAAATCATCCCTCTGGCAGGGACCAATGACAGACATGGTGGGTGGGGCCTTTTTCCTGTCCACTTTGGGAGGGGGGTGGGTTTGGTGGGGTGGTGCTTGGGCTTCGTCACTCCACCTGCACTGACCTTCCAGTCGGAATCTTGGTGGCCCGGGGCGGGCGACACACGTGATGCTGAACCTGTTGTAGAGCCTCGATGCCTGGCTGCCGCCACATGAGCTCACAAATGACCGATTTCACGTTTGCAAGTAAAGTGATCCGGGCATGCAGTGCTTAACCGCTGCGGCCATGAGTCTATTAATTAATTATTCCAAGTCCTTATGGGAAGAAACAGAGGGCAAGATCCAATGAACGATGCTTTTCCACATTAACTTCACTGATTCTGTAGAGAAAGTAACACTTGTAAGTTGAAGGATTCCTCAAAGCCACATGTGTCCAGAGACCTTGCCGAACGAGTAAGAGCAGTAGACACGTGTACAGATGGGAGACGTGAATGGAAACCTCAGGGGTTAATGCTACTGCAAGGGAATGGAGAATAACAGACACAGGGCATGCTGAAAAAAACTGGGATGAGGTGGGCTGCAGCACCCTGGAGGCTCAGTGCGTTTGTTATCTTCGGTTACAGACAACCGTAAACATTGGGTTGCAGGAGTTGGGAGGAGCCAGGGTGGACATTTTCTGCACATACTGTTAATATTTGCACATGGCCCCAAGGAAAGCTTTGCCATTCTCTGAGCCTCATCGGGGAAGCTTTGCTGCTCCCATGGGCTCTGAGGCCCTGGGATCCTTGACTTAGGTGTACTCATGTCAACAACACACATTCAACTCACTCACTTGCTTCCCATGGGTAAAAATAGAGACTAAGCCAATGAAATACTTAGCAAATTATTAATCTAAGAATTTGACTAAAAAAAAAAAAAAAAAAAAAAAAAAAAACAAAAAAAACCCAAACCCTTAACTAACGCCTATTACTTGCTTTGTGGTTAAATAGTAGCTCTGTGGTTGTGTTATCATTTATTTCTACTATTAGTTTTTAAAATTCTCATGTATGTTTACTATTTTTGCCAGCAAGGCAATGCCAACATAGCACACTGCCGTTATTTAGTTCCCACACAAGTACAGGGGTGCTTTAAAAGCCACCTGTGGAGATAGGAATAGGAAGGTATGCTCCAAGATGGTCATCGGTAGACACAGCATGCACCCTGACCACCACAGGAGCTCTTGGGTGCAGCCTGAACATGCACAATAGTTTAGAAGCTCCTCTGGTGGGGTTGCACAGCTCCTCTGCTGGGGTTGCACAGTCATCTATGGACAAGCGTGGGTAGGAGTTCCTGGGAAGGATGGCTGCCTCGAATAGGGGCCTGGCTCAGAGTGGAGTGTTTTTATATATGCCATTGACCTGATATGGTTTAGGTTTGAAGTGCAAGATCTTCAGTATCTCAGGCAATGTGAGATTGTTAGACCAGGTGTACGGTATGCATTTTGATGGGAAGAGTAGAGGACTCTTGGGAGACAGCCTGGGTTTGGTGTGGGCTGGGCATGGTTACAGATGGGAATGGTTTGCATTGGTTTCCTGAGAGACCAATAGAGCTGTGATAGGAATGGGAGATTGAAAGCATTTAGAAAGAAAATGTTAAACTTTGTTTCAGTGTTAAGTTTGAAGTGTTTAGCTGGAAAAGTCCAGGAAGAAACGGGAAGGATTTTGCACAAGGGTGCAGACTTGGGCCCTCAGTGTAGAAACAAAGCTGGTGTGGAAGACACTAGAAGATTCCAGGAGGATGGTAACAACTGAGCCCAGGGGTTTCCCAGTGTTGGGATTCTAAGGAAAAGGAAAATATATATATATATATATATATATGTATATATATATATATATATGAAAATATTTATATATATATATATATATATATATATATATATATATATATATCTGGGGAAACTTTCAGAAAAGGAAGATAGAAAAGACAGAATTAGGGAAACCACGGATTTGTAAAGAGGACGTTCCTTGCGGTTCCTCATAGTTGGGTGAATGGGCCCTCAGAAATGATTGTCAGGATCAGTTTCATCACCCTGTCTCTTACTGTCTGAAATTATTCCATTGGGATCTGATCGTGCCACTGACTTTTCCTGAGATAATAACAGTCACTGGCTTCCTTACCTCTTCTCCAAACCCCCGAAATGCCATAGCTGTGCAGAATCGGGATGCTGCCTGGTATCAGCTGTTGGTGGCACCACTCAGCGAGGATCAGAAGAGAAAGCTTCAGGAGGTGTACACAGTGGCAGAGCACCGAAGGACGATGGCAGGTCAGTCGTCGAGGGCCACCACCCGCCCCGCTTGATTCATGAAAACGAACAGTCCCATTGTTTGGTTTTTAAGACAGGACCTTTCCGTGTTCCTGGGCTGGCCCATCTGTGTGTGCTAGAGTCACTGGTCTGTGCTACTTCTCCTGGGCTGCATGCTTGTCCTTTATCTCTTTTTGATGCTGACACTTGAACCCAGACCTTCACACATGCTGGGTGAATAATCTACCAGTGAGCTATGGTCCTAGTCCCCCATCCCCACCCTCCAGTCTCTTTCTGTGTGTCTCTGTCTCTCTCTGTCTCTCTTTTGAGATTGGGTTTCACTTTGTGGCTGGTCTGGAACTCATTGTGTAGCCCAAGCTAACTTCAAACTCACTGTCCTCCTGCCTCAACTCTCCCTAGGGCTCAGATGAAGGTGTATGCCACCATGCCTACCATTTTTTTTTCATTCCTTTAAAATGAGATGTTGCTAAATTGGCTAGTCTAGCCTCAAACTTACAACCTTTGGGTTTGTGATCCTCCTGCCTCAACCTTCTGAGTAGCTGGATTATAGGCATGTCCCTGAACCATTAGGCCCAATTTGGTGGTTCTTTTTAATAATAATATTATATCTCTGTCAACACCATTTCATGGGTAGGGGTTATTAGTGTTTCCCACCTACTCACATCCTTCTAATGTTTTGGAGAAGTAAGGGTTAGAACAGGTCTTGCTGAGAAAGACTGCCGGCCCAGTGTCCACCTAACATCTTAACTACAGATGTGTAAGGAGTAAAGTTTTTCTGCCCACCACCTGGTCTTGTCCTGCCGCCGTGCCAGCCCCAAATAATGCACAGAGACTCTGTACTTGATACAGTGCTATTGGCCAGATGCTAGTTTCTTATCTGCTAGCTCTGTCTTAATTATTACCCATTTCTATGTATTTCCACGTGGTCTTACCGAGAGCGGAGGAATGGCGGTTCTGTTCTCTCCAGGCTCTCCATCCTGACTCCTCCTTTCTACTTCCTATTTCTTCCTTGTCTCCTAGTCCCTCCTTTCTTCCTTTCCTATTGGCCAACAGTGCTTTATTCATTAACCAGTATGAGAAACATATACAGAATGATATCTCCCATCACAGATGGACCAAAAGCACTCTGTGGACCTCACGAAGAGCTTGTATTCTTGAAAAGGAAGTGCTGTGTTACTCAGTTTGCCACTGATGTTACTTGGTACCTAAGGAGATCAACTCAGGAGGAGGCTTTATTTTGGCTCTTGGTTCAGTCCCCTTGATTTTGGCCTTAGTTCTTGGCCACCTTGATTTTGGGCCTCTGGTAAGGTAGTGCCTCATGGGAAGAGTGTGAGGTAGAGGAAATGGGCTCATTTCCAGGGACCCCAGCAGCAGCAGGGAGAATGTGGCTGGCTTCTAGTATCCCCTTTAAAAACATACCCTATGGGTTTCAAGAGAGGGCTGAGCAATGAAGAGCACTTTCTACTCTTGTAGAGGACCCAGGTTAGGTTCCCAGCACCTGCATCAGCTGGCTCACAGCCATCTGCATCTCCAGTTACATTTTGGGGTAGGGAGTGATGCATATTTTGTCAGCATCCCTTACGGAGTCAGCATCCCTTACGGAGTGGCGCCTGCAGCCCTTGGCTCCCAGCTTCAGAACTGTTTATATTTCATTTGCATTAGCAAACGTTTTTTCCACAGTAAACATAACTGCTTGTCACTGTGGTTTTGTTAAAGGCTGGCATTCAACTATGTGGCATAAATAATACCAGGAATCACACTCATTTAAAGTTGTAAATCAATAAAAAAGAACCGGGCATGGCAACAAGATCGGGTCTTTTGTAAATCCCAACACTTGGGGTGCAGAGGCAGGAGGATCAGGAGTTCAAGGCCATCCTCAGTTACATAGCAAATCAGCTGTCAATCTGGGCTACACGAGACCCTGTCTGCAAACAACAATCCACTATGATGAAAGTCTGGCCCTTGAAGGTGTTTTCCATAATCTCACCTTGAGCATTCTTTTATGTCTTCCCTCCCCTCTTTGTTCAATAGCAGGGAGGCTTCACATTTGAGGACGAGGACGCCTTCTCTGCGTTTAACTTTGGGGTTGTGCCCAGCAACAACTGAAAGGCGCCTCCACCGTTCACCGACCATCATCACCGTTGCTGCGTATTTCACAGGATGCGTGTGGGCCACGAGGGAGACGAGGGGCTGTGTCATCGGCATCAGGCAGCCGTGGACTCGCTCACACCCTTCCCTTGTCCCTTCTAACCTGGAATATGTATTTTTCAACAGCTACTGTAATGTACGAAATTAAAAAAAAAGCAGAACCATTGATCAGAAAGGACAAAGAATCTGCTGTGAAGGCTGAGCGCTAAGGGGTTAGAATTAGGTATATCGATCAGCGCATGCGCCTCAGGTTTTTGCCATGCAGAATCAGTGGATTTATGCGGATAACAGTGCCTTCTGTTGTACATGAATTATCAGAAATTTTTTTGGAGTGCGTTGCAATTTTTTTAAGTCACAAAACATATTTCTAGATAACCTGTAAACCTTGGTTATATGTTATTTCAGTCTGCATTTTACTCTGCACTGACAGGCTAAATTTAGTGCAAGTCTCACTCTGGTTTCAGAAACGTCCCTGCCCCTTTTGGCCACCCTTCGCCCAGAGGCTTTCTTCAAGGTTGGAGCTTAGGCAGTGGCTTTGGTTTTCCATAAGGCATCCACGGCTTTCCTGAGATCTGTTGTATATTCCCTTTCTTGTCACATTTTTCCCTCTTGAATGGGGTGATGTTTCTTTCAGGATCACAAATGTATCGATTACATTGTAACCTGCTAAATTCAGGCTTGGCAGCCGGCAGCAAAAGCCAGTTAGTCACAGTTAGTTCACTGGGCTTAGCAGCTGAGCAAGACTGAAGTTCTTAGGAATCATGTGTTTAATTATGCTGCAGGGGTTGGGAGCATCCAAATACGAAGGCACAGTGATGGTCAAAGCAGACGGCCATTACTCTGTGGGGACTTGGTGAGCAGTAACTTACCATTCCAGCCATGTAGGACAGGGCCCAAAGCATTTTCTAATTTTTCTTTTTTTCTCCTTCAGGCAGGCCTCAAAGTTTCAGTCCTCTCGACTCAACTCTGACTGCTGTTAACACACCCAGCTGATTTTTTAAACTTTTTTTTAAGTCGGGGTCTTGCTACCCAGTTCTGGCTGGACTGTAATTCTCTTTGCAGTCTGGTCTGGCCTCAGACTTGTGGTCTTCCTGCTTCCGCCTCCAAGGGGTTGGAGTTATGGCCACTACAGATGATTCCATTTAGTAAAAAGACCCAATAGATCTAGCAGCCTGCTTTCTCACAGTCTGAAATTCCTCCAGCCTGATTAGGGTTGTTCTTTATTGTGGCTCAGTTGAGTTTTTAAAATTCTCCAAGGGTTGGCCTCTTGATCAGCTGGGTGTATAGGTGAATGATGTCAGTATTGCATATGAATTCTCCTCAACTGTTCAAAAGCAGAACATGAACCACAGAGCTTTCATTTAGCAAAATGGAAATATATCATCAGGACTTGATGTATTTCTGGATGTGATACCATTTTGTTTCCGTGAAATACATGCAGTTTAAATTTACATCAGCAAACTGGCAGAATTTTCTAGGTGCTTCCTGAATTACCAACCCTTACTTACTCTTTGTTAAAAAAAAAAAAAAAAAAAAAAGAATTAGGTTATTTAATTTTTCTTTTCCCAGAAGTATCTTGTTGAGAAGCCATATGTTTCAAAGTGAAATGACCCTGTATTTTTCCATCCCTCACTTTATTCAGGGCACAAAGCTGTATGACTCCTTAGCAGTCAGAAGGAAAAGATTGCATTGTGGGGGATTTTAGATCTTTGAAATAGTTTGGTTTCTCTCATGTGTCATACGGTTTAACTACAACATAGGTAATAAGCCTTCACACTGGATCCCCGGGGGTGTGGGTTTTAGAGATGTTACTTTGTGGTGAATTGTCATCTACAGTATTAAAGGGAAGACATACTCCTGCACACCACCACACCTTGTTTTTGAAGCCAGAGTCATTGTATGATTTTATTACCAGAAGTGCTAACCGGAATGTGATCTGGTTACTTTGGAAATGCAGGAACTTATATGAATGTACTGTATAATAAAATGTGGGCTAATCCCCAGGAATTGAACTCTGCTGTATGGAGTGTTTTCTGGGATGTAGAGTTGATAACTCATTAGCATGTTTTCCTGACTTCCAGGAACCTGAACAAGAGGGCTGTTGGCATTGAGAAGACAGCAGGAGGTGTCAGAACCAGCAGGTCTCATCATGAACAGTGAGAGCCTGGGGCTGATTCTGCAGGCCATGGTAGTGCATCCTGGTAGGCAAATGATAAAGAGGATGAGGCAGGAGGATCACTGGCTTGAGGCTGGCCCACACTATGCATTTAGAGCTGAGCATGCTGACACATACCTAAATTCCAGCACTTGCTGGCAGGCAGGAGGCCATCTTCATCCACATGGTGAGTTGGAGGCCAGCCTGGGGCATGTATGCCTATCTCAAAAATAAATGTATAAGAATTTAAAATACTCAAAAGTGAATTGAGCCGGGCATTGGTGGCGCAGGCCTTTAGTCCCAGCACTGGGGAGGCAGAAGCAGGCAGATCTCTGTGGAGGTCAAGGCCAGCTTGGGCTACAGAGCTAGTTCCAGGACAGGTTCCAAAGCAGTACAGACAAACCATGTCTCAAAAAACAAAAAACAAAAAACAAACAAACAAAGCAACAACAACAAAAAGTGAATTGAATAGCATGTTAGAAAAGGATTATACACTGTGGCCATATAGAATTTATCTTAAGGGATTTGCGAATGTTTTGACATAAATTAACTAACATATCTGTGGGACAAAACCATCATCATTTCAATAAACATGGTAAAAGTAGTTGATAAAATTTAGCATCCTCTAATGATAAAAACTTTAAAAATCAGGTATAGCAAGAATTTGCCCCAACATAGTTTCATATGTAATAAATTCAGGTAACACCATTTAAATAGGAAAAGTTGACGAAAGCCTTTCTGAGAACTAGAATAAGACAAGAGTACTAACTTGGGATGTTTTTATAGTTCTGGAAGGCCTAGCCTGAGAAAGTAGGCAAGAGAAAGAAATGGAAGGCACCCAAATCAGAAAGAGGACTTTTTTTTTTTTAATTTAATTGTCTTCTTTCTTTTTGTTTATTCTTTATGACTTGCACATTTCCTGGTTCGAGGCCCCTGGCTTCTGCTACACTGTTAACGCTAGACCCTCACCGGGGCTCCTCTTGGATATCCTGTTGTTGGCCTGTGTCGTGGAGACCCTGCAGCTTTGGATCTGCAGGACTGGCCCCTTCACAAGCTCCAGAGGATCACAGATGGGGTGGATGTTGGGGTGGACCAACTTAAAACCCTGTTTCTGGGTCTGGGTGGTTGCAGGGTTCATCGGCATGCTGGCTCTCCCCCATCTTCACCAGGGGGCGCTCTCCAGCATTGCCCTGGCTAGTTCACCCCTTGCAGTGATGAACATGGGGCGGGGCCAGTTCTTCTGCTCCCACACCCTCAGGGTTAGCTTTCCCACACCTATATCTTCAGGGCCAGTTCTGCTGTGCAGCCCAGACAAGATGCAGGGGCTGTTTTCTGGAGTGCCGTAGGCCATGAGGGACAGGGATAGCTCTCCTGCTCTTATGACCTCAGGGCCACCTCTCCCAGGAGCCACAGACCTGGTGGGGGGGGGGGCGCTCATCTTCCCTGCCCACACCATCATATGGCAGATGAGGGGTGTGGCCAGATCTCCCATGCTCACAGTCTCGGCCAGTTTCACCTGAACCCCTGTCAATAGGGTCAGCTCTACTGCCCAGGAGAGGAGTTGGATCCAAAGAAAGAGAACTCTTTATCTCTGTTTGCAAATAGCATAGATGTTAAATTTTTATTTATCTTTAAATTTTGTTTTTCTGACTTTTTTATGTAGTATAATCTTGTTATATCTTTTCCAATCCTCCGTGTGTGTGTGTGTGTGTGTGTGTGTGTGTGTGTGTGTGTGTGTCTCCCCTGCCATAAAGGTTCCAGAATCAAATTCAGTTGTTCAAGCAATCACCTTACCTGAGGATGAGCTATCTCAGGGGCCTAGCATGATCTTACATGAAGAAGAACCTAAATACACAGCCAAAAACCTGTTAGGACTAAAAAGAAGTTTAGTTATGTTGCAGGCTATAAGACTTATCTACCAGATTAGCATATCTATACATGAGTAATAAACTAGTTGAAAAATCAAGAGAATGAAGGTAAACCACTGATGAAAGGAACTGAGGACTCAGAAAATAGAAAGGCGCTCAAGTCCACAGATGGGAAGAAAATTATGTGTGTATGTACATGTACCTGTGTGCATATGGGTGTGGAAGCCAGAGGCTAGCATTGGGTATCGTCAGTTGATCCCCATTTTATTTTTTGAGACATAGTCTTGTCACTAAATCTACAGCATCAATTGGCTAGATTGACTGGCCAATGAGCTCTGAGGATCTGCTTGTCTTTGCCCTATCTACCACCAATATTAGGGTTACAGACATGTACTGTCTACTGAGTGATGTTCCTTGATTTTAAGGTGGCTTCTATGAGTCCTCATGACTTCAAGATTGTCCCCGATCCAAGACGGATCCCAGTGATTCTAAAATGATCTTGTCTAATTGTCTTATCTCTGTGGTAATTAGTAATTATGGCATACAGGAGACAAAGAACCCAAAATTATACAATGGAAAAAAGAAAGCATTTTCAACAAATGGTGCTGGCATAACTGGATGTTAACATGTAGAAGAATGCAGATAGATCCCCATGCACAAAATGCAAGTCCAAGTTGATCAAATACCTCAGCATAAATCCAGTTACACAGCCTGATAGAAGAGAAAGTGAGAAGTAGCCTTGAACACATGGGCAGAGGAGACCACTTCCTAAATACATTGCCAGTAGCACAGAGACTGAGCAATAATTAATAAATGGGACCACCTGCAACATGGTTAATAAGGCAACACAGCATCCTACTGAATGGAAAAAATTCTTCACCAACCCCACATCTGACAGAGGGCTCATCTCCAAAATATATAAAGAACTCAAGAAACTAGACATCAAAATACCAAATAATCCAGTTAAAAATGGGGTACAATATCTAAACAGAATTCTCAACAGAAGAATCTCAAATGGCCAAAAGACATTCAAGGATTGCTAAACACCCTTAGCCATCAGGGAAATGCAAATCAAAATGACTCCGAGATACCATCTTGTACCTGTCAGAATGGCTAATATCAAAAACACTGATGATGGTTTATGCTGGAGAGGATGGAGAGTAAGGGGAACACTCCTCTACTGCTGGTGGGAGTGCAAACTTAAACAGCCACTTTGGAAATCAGTTTGGCAGTTTTCAGAAAATTGGGAATCTACCTCAAGATCTAGCAATACCACTCTTGGGCATATACCCAAAGAATGTACAATCATACCACAAGGACACTTTCTCAATCATGTTCATAGCAGCATTATCCATTATAGTCGAACCTGGAAACAACCTAAATGCCCCTCAACCGAAGAATGGATAGAGAAAATATGGTACATTTACACAAGGAAGTATTACTCAGAGGTAAAAATGACACTATGAAATTTGCAGGCAAATGGGTGGAACTAGAAGAAGAAGGAAGAAGGAAGAGGAAGAAGAAAGGAGGAAGAAGGAAGAGGAGGAAGGAGGAGGAAGAAGAAAAAACCACCCTGAGTGAGGTAACTCAGACCTTGAAAGACACAGTATGTACTCACTCATAAGTGGATTCTAGATGTAAAGCAAAGGATAACCAGCTTATAATCCACAGCCCTAGAGAAGCTAGGTACCAAGGAGGATACTAAGAGGGAGGAATGCATTGCCCCTGGGAAAGGGAAATAGGCGAGATTTCCTGGGTAAACTGGGGGTGGGGTTTAAGGAGAGGGGATGAGGAATGGGAAGATGAGGTATCAGGATGGTCAAGTTGGGGGAGGGACAGAGACAGAGCAATGAAAGAGATATCTTGATAGAGGGACTCATTATGGGGTCAGGGAGAAACCTGGTGTCAGGAAACCCCAAAGATGACCCCAGCTAAGACTCCTAGCAGTAGTGGAGAGGGTGCCTGAACTGGCCTTCTCCTGTGATCAGATCTAGCTGCTAATGGGAATCATTGGCCAGAGTCACAGTACGGGAAAAAGCCCAGCTGTCTCCTTGTGGATGGACACATAAAGGAAATGTGGTATTGATGAAGGAGAAGTTCAAAGTAACAGAATTGGTGTTATTAGATGTGTTTAGGAGACATTAAATCATACCAAGTAGGATTGAGCTAAGGGAGCCCCCACAAACACCTCCAAGATAAGTAGTCTGCTAACCAGGTTGTTAGAGATAAGCAAAATTCATGATATACTAGGATGTAAATGTTTGACCAGCCATTAGGCCCATCCCCAAAGAGCATGTCTCTAACAGGCAGCTGAAAGAGGCAGCTCAGGGTCCTGGCTTCCATAAAGCCTCCCAGTGCTCTTTTTGAAAAAAATAATAATTTTGCCTGATGGTTAAGATGACCCCAGGTAGCAACTATTACAAAAGAACAATGCTGCTGGTATCTTTGCTGTGCAAATCTCCCATCTGACCAAGTGGCCAGAGTTGGAGTTTCCTGTCTCTGTTTATATTGTTCAGAGTGTAACCTGGGGCTGGGACCTAAAAGGAACCTAAGGATGACAGCATATGTAAATTGCATAAGCCTAAGGTGTAACACAGTACCGCAGATCCCACTTAACTGGGACTAAAAGCATGGATCTAGAATTAAAGAGCGGTGTGGCGGTTTCCAGGGATGACCAGTTGAGGGCTACGTGTTGGTGAAAAGTCACAAAGTTCCAGCTACTCGGGATGACTAGTTCTGGGGACTTTAGCATGGTTGCTGTAGTTAACATACTGCATTCTCGAAACTAAGAGTAGATCTCCAGTTTTCTCACCAAACAAATACCCGACAAGAAGCTCTTAATGGAGGAAGAGTGTGTTCTGGCTCGTGGTTTGAGCAGATACACTCTGTTATGTTGGGGAAGGCAAAGTGGCAGGGTCTCCCTGGCGGAAGGAAGGATCGTGAGGCCGAATCCTCATACGTTGGTAGAATAGGAAGTGGACAATGTCAG